TTTATTCCGGGGGTATGTTTATTTGATTTTGAAGATTTGTCCGGGGGGGGTACGTTTATTCCGGGGGGTATGTTTATTCGGCAGATGAGAGTAAGTACAAATACGTGTACAGCGTGCAAAATACCTGGTTGTCCAGTTGCCCCAGGCAACCAAATTTTACTTGGGGCAACCTATTTTTGAACCAAGGTAGCCCAGTGTGCTACCTGAAGAATGCCCCTTCTGCCCCTCGAAATCATGCCCACTTGGCTTCCACCACTGTAGCCGGCAGATGCTTTATAATAGGTATTAATGGCTATTACTAGTATCAGTTAAGTTACTAAAGGCTGTTAGAAATACATGTATTGTCAAAGGCTTATGTAATACATTACTTAATTTGAGGAAAGTAACGTTAGTAACTTATAGGTGGGGCAACCTAAAATTCTGATGGGCAACCTAATTTGTGCCATAGGTTGCCCACTGGGCAAGCTGGTTCAAAAAACACATTTTTTACACTGGTGTAGAATATTAAGTACATGTACCGGTAATACCAACAGACTAAGGTGAGAAATAAAGGCAAGAAATGTCCAGAGTGAGACTATGCATGATGTACAGAATGACTAATAAACTGGTGGATGGATTCTAATACCAGCCCAGAAAAGAACAAGAAACAGTCATGCTTTCAAATATCAGAGTTACCAACAAAGAATTGAGGTGTATACAGCTATACAGATACAGATACAGATACAGAAGAACAACTGACAAGGGAGAAAACAGTTTTGCAAAACAATATCAAATTTGGCCAGGCAGTATCCAATATGCTACTCAAAGTTTGCCTGGTGTGAAGGAAGATGCCAGTACAACTAAAAATTCCTAAAACACATAAAAGATTAGCCGAAGCCTAAACCTTGGCTTGGAGAGTGGCAGAACCAGTAGAAGATGGTGATAATGATGCCACTGCAGGCTAGGGTTGGACAAGTCCCATTGCCCACTTGCCCAGGGCAAGTAAAAGTACAGTTCGGGCAAGTAAATATCCCCCTGCACTTGCCCGATTGGGCAAGTAAATTTTTGGGATGTGGCATTATGCCCCGGTGTTTGGAGCAAACTCTCTCATCATTTTCCCATAATGTATTCCCATAATATGACTTTTTATCAGGGAACCATTTGCAAGTCTCAAACCTCCTTACTTTGGAAAATATTGGTCAAGCATAGAAGCTGAGTTTACTGAAAAAATATCTTTGTGGTAAAAATGTATGAAATAGGTCATTTATATTTTGCAATGGGCAAGTAAAAAGTTGGTTTGGGCAAGTAGAAATGACCATGTGCTTGCCCGATCGGGCAACCACTTTTGAAAACTTGTCCAACCCTGGCCGCTGATGTAAACAATAGCCTGGGTTGTAACACTCCTGGCTAATCATTGGTTTACAGCAACTGCGAAGTTCTAGCTACATGCAGAAGTCATGGTGGTGGAAAGAAGATGCCGGTGTACTCTTGTTTTGTTTTGAATGACTGGAGGTTGTTCCAGATGTGTACTGCAGTATCTACAGCAACTACTATTTGTCTTATCTACTCTATGTCGTGGCGTCGGGTGGCGTAGTGGTAGATCATTCGACTGTGAACCGGGAGACCCGGGTTCGATTCCGGGTCATACCCGGGACATTTTTTTGTCTGGACATGCACCCGACGTTGGGTTCTTGGGAAAGGCACTTAAAACGACTTTCCTCACTCCACCCAGGTGTGAATGGGTACCTAACTTCGGTTGGGGAAAGCCGTATTGAGGTCACCTTGTGGCACCGAATGGCAGCCGTACAGACCCTTGCGGCAGCTCCACAAAAATGTGGAACAAATATGTATCATGTGTATTGTGTGTATTATTATGTGTATTATTTTAATTGTTTGTATCATCTGATTGTAAACCCTGCATCAATTCAGCACTATACGGCTGCGATTGCTCGGGTTATGTTTCGCCAATAAACCATTTATTATTATTATTATATTATTATTATCTACAGCATCGACTCCATCATGCTGCTGGAGGAAGGTTTCCAGGTGACCAGCAGATGATGATGGTGGTGATGATGATGATGATGATGGTGATGATGATGATTATGATGATGATGTTGATGATGATGATGATGATATTGATGATGATGCCACTATCTTCTTACAGCATCGACTCCATCATGCTGTTGGAGGAAGGCTTCCAGGTGACCAGCAGCGATGCCAGCGACAAGATGCTGAAGTACGCCTTAAAGGAGCGCTGGAACCGCCGCAAGGAGGACGCCTTCGACAAGTGGGGTGAGTCAGTCCTCCTCAAACCTGTTGGCTCACATGTACACATGTAATTTGTTACCATTAGTTAGGCAGTAGGACCAGTGTAATACTAATAGCTCAATCAGGAAGCTTAAGAGTGCTTGCTTTGTAACTGGGAAGTCGTGAGTTCAAACCCCAAAGACTTTAAAATGGTACATACTGCTCTCTCTGCTTAGCACTCAGCATCTTTGAGAATGAGTATGGGAAAGTCAAAGACTCAAACACACAACACTACCAGTGGACTAGCCCACTGCTGTAGTCCTTGCACAATTATGTGGTGCAAGGGCTACAGAAATGGAGATGGGCACCACCCCCATGCTCAGAGTGGAACATAACCTTGTTTTCTTCATTCAAATTAAGAGCATGCCCTATTTGTTCTCTACAATAAAGTCTTGCTACATGTCACATTGCAATACTTGTAGCTTTGAAGGACATACTTTGTCTGTAATAGAAGGAGAACAATGTCTGACTTCTCTGACTTAGACTTAGACTTAGACTGGCCTGAAGTTAACTGTGTACCTTGCATGAGTGGCGTCAGGTGGTGTAGTGGTTAGAGCAATAGACTGTGAACCGGGAGACCCGGGTTCGATTCCGAGTCGTACCCGGGACATGTCTGAACATGCGCCCCGACTTTGTGCCTTTGGGAAAGGCACTTTACACGAATTTCCTCACTCCACCCAGGTGTGAATGGGTACCTAACTTCGGTTGGGGAAAGTCGTATTGAGGTCACCTTGTGGCGCCGAATGGCAGCCGCACAGACCACAAAATAATTGTGGAACAAATATGCATTTGTATTATTTGAATGTTGTAATTGTTGTGATTTGTATTGATTATTATGTGATACCCTGCATCAATTCAGCCGTATAAAGGCTGCGACTGCACGGGTACTGTTTGGACAATGAAAACCATTTATTATGAATAGGGCTGCGTACCGGTTCACTGGACTTGGATCCGGACTTGTAATAATGTTTAGGTTCAAGTCCAAAAAAACCTAAAAGTCAAGAACCGAGTCCGGACTTATTACCATAAAAGACCATTTCACATACCCCTTTTCTTTCCAAACCACCTAAAACCATCTGTAGATTGCAAAATCTTTGCTGCAAAATGAAGAAAACATTGCCATTGGGCATCGTCAAGTACCGGCCTCCATGTTATGTGGCCAACGTTTCACCCAGACAACATTGCCAACATGCAATTTTGTGTATGCCATGGGTTTAGGTCCGGACTTACAAGTCCGGAACTGAACCTAAACCTCTGGACTTGAACCTAAAATTGAGTTTAGGTATGCAGCACTAATTATGAATATTTCTGCAGTGATTGAGGAGGGGAACTGGCTGACACTGAAGGAAGACCTGGAGGACGTTGCCCCCGCGGAAGGGTTTGACGCCGTCATCTGCCTGGGAAACTCGTTCGCACATCTGCCGGACTTCGACGGGGACCAGCAAAATATCAAGGTTTGGGTCCTGTTATACCTACTCCCGGCTAGCCTCAACCAGGCCTTCCTAAGTTGCCTCTACAAGGCTTTAGTAGTGGCTGGAAGGAGTAGAAATTGGCCAAATGGACAGATAACATGGGAGTTGGTCTGCTAGATCATGAAACAAAAGGTCTTTTCAAGCAATCTTAACTTTAAATCCATTGCACAATCCCTGCAGACTGCTCTGAAGAACTTTGCTGGGATGGTGAAGCCAGGAGGAGTCCTGATGGTGGATCATCGTAACTATGACTACATCATAGAGAACGGACGAGTCCCACAGGCCAACTCACTCTACTACAAGGTGAGTCCTACAGGCCAACTCACTCTACTACAAGGTAGCTAGCTATATCACACCAAACGACTTGTTACACTCTATCTTTGCACATCTAATTGCAGGAGTTGTTTAAGCTTTCTAGGAATGATGCCCCAACTCTGCTTGGTGGTAACGAGTTCCAGTCTACTATACATGTAGTTCTTGGAGAATACGAGTTACGACTGCATTACCTTTTAATAAATTACCTCTCCAGGGTAAGCGGGTGAAGGAGATAAAGACCTCAGTGCTGTGGGTTGACGGCACCTGCAAGATGATCACGCTGGACTATACCATCGACATCAGCGAACATCCGGAGGACGACGCACCCATCAAGAAACTCCGCATCGAGGGGGAGGCAACGGAACCACAGTACAGGTGAGATATCTCTGTACAGGTGAGATATCACAGTACAGGTGAGATATCTCTGTACAGGTGAGGTTCCTTGTGTAACAGTGGGGGGGTTTATAGGCGCTACCAACTGACCCGGCCGACGGGTCTAGACCTTTTCGGCCGAGCGGTTAGAGTGTCTGACTGGGGCCCCTGAAGTTGTGAGTTCGAACCCCGGCCCGGAACCAGAAGGGTTTTTACTGGCTCCTCCTGTTTCTTACAGTGTGGGGGGGGGTCTAGACCTTGTAGCAGAGCGGTTAGAGCGTCTGGTAATGAAGCTCTGGTGCTCGGGAGGCCGTGGGTTCGAACCCCGGCCCGGGACCAGAAGAGTTTTTACTGGCTCCTCCTGTTTCTTACACTTGGCACAGGTGAGATGCTTTTGTACAGGTGAAGCTTCTCGGTACAGGTGAGACACTGGCCCTTTTCCCACTAGGATAGAATTGGATTTCGATCAAAAGCAAATATATTTGGCTCAATCCGGACACTTTTATCCGAGTGAGAAAAGGACCACTTACACTTATGTACAGGTGAAGTACTTCTGTATATGTGAGGCTCCTTGGCACAGGTGAGATACTTCTGTACAGGTGAAGCACTTCTGTATCAGGCCCTTTTGCAACTTGGATAGAATTGTCAGGATCCAGCTGAATAGATTGGCTTTGATCTGATGGAATAAGGGACTTTGAAAATCCAGATTTACAGCCCTGAAACTGCTTTGGGTGTCTTTAAAAGCCCAGACGCCATATTGTTCTTGCTGCCCTTCTGTTTTCTTCACTGCTTTGCCTTTTCTTGCCTTTCCTCATTTTGCAGTCAACAGGGGAAGGGGGACACAGCAGTCCACAGTCTACAGGACAGGTTCAGGTTTGTCAGCAGATGTTAACGTAGATACTAACAGAACTCCTTACATTCTATGTTTGTAGTTAAAACTTTTGGTCCAACACAAAAAGACACTTCAATGAAGCCACGCTGGGTCAGTCTACTGAGGAAGACCAGAGTGACTGGTCGAAAGCTCTAGGCGAGAGAACTTTTTTGTGTTGGACCAAAAGTTTTAACTATAAACATGTAACTACCAACACAGAATCTGATGAACTTTCATGATAGTCCTTACATTCTAGTATATTTGTGTGTGTGTGCGAGTGTGCCTCATGTCTGCAATCTCTCAAACACTTGTTTTTCAAAGTGGTAGATACACATAACCCAGCAGATAATTCTCATGAGCCTGTAGAAGTAGCAGCATGGGTTCTGAAGAATTTTACCTAATCTGCAAGGAGCGCTCTTTGAGATAACAGTTACTCAAGTCATGCCCGTAGCCAAGGGGGGTACGGAAGAACCCCCCCCACAAGGCTCAAAGGTCCACTTTTTGGTCCACTTTTTATCTAAAGGTCCACTTTTTGGTCCACTTTTTATGTAAAGGTCTAAGATTTTTGTTAAAAAGATGGACTCTAATCGTAGAAAAACTGCTCCCTTTGTCTTGGAAATCCTCTCAAAAACGCACGAAATGCCATTTTAGAAGGTTCATTTTTCAAAATTTTCCGGGGGAGCATGCCCCTGGACCCCCCCTAGGAACCTCGCGCCTATGGCCCTCGAGGTCCCCTAAAGCAGTGGGAAGAACCCCCCCATTCAAAATCCTGGCTACGGACATGCAAGTAAATTACTAGATATATTTTGGAAACATTGAGACATTTCAGGTAGAATCCACTTCCCGACAAAAAGCAGTTGGATTGCTACCTAAACAACAAACTACATGTGTATTCAAAATCTGTCCAGTTGCTTGAGTAGCTCTTTCTTTGGAGTCAGGATTTCTAATGTCCAGTATTCGTTTCTATGTACGGGACACAACACCAGCAACAGCTGCCTCTGTTTCGCGTGTATTGCACTGTTGCAATTTCAATAAATCAAATCAAATGTCAATGGGGAAAATTATATATGACAGGACAGGAGGTCCTTATGTAGACATGGTCACTTCATACATGTACTAGTATACAATTTTGTATTGAATTTCATTAGCAAAGTGACAGTAGTAAAGGGGCCCATGCCTGTAGCCAGGATTATGAATGGGGGGTTCTTCCCACTGCTTGAGGGGACCTCGAGTGCGAGGTTCTAATCCTAGGGGGTCTGGGCATGCTCCCCAGGAAAATTTTGAAAAATGAACCTTCTAAAATGGCATTTTGTGCATTTTTGACAGGATTTCCAAGAAGAAAATCAGAGATAGATTTTTATTCAATGACAATGGGAGCAGTTTTTCTACGATTCCAGTCCATCTTTTCAAAGAAAATCTTGGACCTTTACATAAAAAGTGGACCAAAAGTGGACCTTTGAGCCTTGTGGGGGTCTTCCGAACCCCCCGAACCCCCCCTGGCTACGGGCATGGGGCCATATATTGTGCATGTGGAATATAACAAACAGCCATGTTTCTGCCTTGCAGTAAGTTCCGTCTGTCGTACCACCCTCACCGCCTGGAGGCCTTCAGCCAGCAGCTGACGGAGGCGTTCGACGGGAACTGCAAACACACCGTGTACGGGGACTTCAAGCCGGTGGACCAGGTCAAGGACCCCGGATACTACATCCACGTGGTCCAGAAGTTATAGTGGTGGAAACACACTGTGAAATTACGGCTGTGTACCTATAAATGTAACATCTGATGTACAGGTACAGGTCCAGAGGTTTAGGTACAGGTCCAGACCTGAACACTTTTTTGCTGCTTATAATACTCTAGCTTTTCTTGAAAGATCATTCTGTTGCATATTAGTTATGCTCCTTCTTCATGTCACTTTGGTGAAGGATCCAGGCTACTACATCCACGTGGTCCAGAAGTTATGATAGTGGAAGCCCACATCTGTGAAACACACAGCTTTGCTTGGCACTGTTTTAGCAAAATACAAATGTACTAGCCTCTACCAGGCACCGCGGTCATTGCTGGAAAAATAGTAGAAATTGGCCAGAATAAAGGGATAGTACCAAATCCCTCGTCACTTTGCTCTCTGCTCGGGTTAAGATATGAGAGTTGTACTGGGGCCGCGAAAGGCCATTAGCGCCCAAACAGAGGCAAAATGACTGGGTCATCATTGCGCGGGGATTTTTTTTTTTTTTTAACTTGACATGCGTCTCCCCTACCGATTCCCCGGGATGCGCAATGGTTCGGTCCCCTTTATCCTACCCGCGACCACAGAGTGACACCAGATGGGGGGTGCGTGCTATCTTACCCTCCCTGCGCGCAAAGCAACTCGGGATAGTGTACCAGAGAAGATCCCAGGCCATGATTCCGTGGGTCGCCAATTGGATCGTCTATATGGCCCAGGATCTTCTCGGGTATACTATCCCTTTATTTCGGCCAATTTCTACTATTTTTCCAGCGATCTGCGGTGTCTGGTAGAGGCTAGCAAAATACAGGTTTGGTATGCATACGGTAGTTGTAAAATTTAAGGTTTGTTCCAACCAAGGAGGTTATAGTCTCCACTACAGTATGACTGACTTCTTCCAACACATTGTTACACAACAGAAACTGAATTTTCAGTCAATCTGTTTGTGGTGCAGAAGTTATAGTGTAAACCCACGTGACTGTGAAATGCTCACATGGAGTTTTAGCTTGGAACTGTTTTATCAAAACACAGGTTTGGTATTCATAGTTGTAAAATTTATGGGGACTTCAAGCCTGTGGACCAGGGCAAGGATCCCGGATACTACGATACTACATACAGAAGTTAAAGTGGTTGAAACCCACTGTGAAATAGCACATTGGCAGAACGTACTACTGTAACACCTATGCTGAACCCGTAATGTATTATGCATAGCACTTCGGCAGAATATCTCATATAATAAGGTCGTATGTGCGCATATAAGGCTAACATCCCGTCTATATAGTTTCCAAATGTTGTGTTGGAAAAGATATCTGATGCAATGTTGACCAAACCAACGAAAACCATGAAAAATCAGGGTTTTACGCAGGCGCAGTACGTTCTGGCAACATGCTCTGTAAAATGCACAAGTGTTTTAGAGTTTTAACTTGTGGCACTGTTTTATCAAAATACAGCAATGCAAGCGCGGGTGGATCTTAATACTGTATTTCCTTCCTTTGAAGGTGATGGTTACTGTTTGATGTAAACCCTCTTGCACAAGCGGAGTTTTACTTTGCACTGTTTTATTGAAATACAGTTTCGGTATTCATGGTTGTGAAGTTCAAGCTTTGTTCCAACACATCAAAAACACTCACCCCAATTCAATTTTATGTTGATCTCTTTGACCTTCGTCAGATGACTGACCCACTGTGCTGACTTTCCAGAATCTGGGATCACATAATGATGTCAGGAGTGAATCAAAAGTTGTGGAGAGTGTATCTGTTGTGTTGGAACAAAGTTAAAATTTTACAACTACGGATGTTCTACCAACACAGATGAGCTTTCATTCGAATATTAGAAGGTTTGGTATTCGTAAAGCAATGCAAGAGTGGGAAGTGTTTCTTTCAAGGGCCATTTTGCATATCGCTATGAATCTAAAGGTGTAAATGTTACTGTGTAAAATTACCTGAAGTTCACTACATTATGTACAATCTTAATGATTGTAGCTGAATTCAATTTAAGAAACCACCTGTGTTGTTGAAATTTATTTTAATCATGACTGAAATTTTATTGAAAGTTCAATTCTTGATCTTTGGGAGTTCTAACATTTGTGATATCATATGTTTTTTCAGTTCCCAATTTTTATGACAAGAAGTGTGCTCTTCTTCAATAAATTTTAAAAGGTATTGTTGGTGTAGGATAATGCAGATGTTAGACAAGACCCATGAGTGTCTCTCCACTGGGCTAAACCGCAACAGGGATAATTGAGTGTACGGAAAACTGTATGTAACAGTTCTACACTAAGGTGTACCACTGAAGAAATGTGTACTGTGTACATTTTAGAAACCTATGGTGGATAATAATAAAAAAAATGAGGTATAAAATAGCCTGTCGTGCTTTCTGTATTTGTAGGCATACTAAATCGTGACGATAATTCAGTTATAGTGTTGTGAAACAAAAAATGTAAGGTATAATGCAATTGTGCTTTTGTCTATCAATAGATCTTATATAGGCCTTGTGTAAGATTATTTAACGTTGCAATATAACTTTGGCCGCTGGATGGAGCCGCTTGAATTCTTGTTACACCGCCTTCTGAAACAAGACAACGTTAGTCGTTACCCCATGATTGCGGTATACATGTACCATGAAAGGACAGGAATCATTTCTTACTTCCAAGGTGACCTACCTCCCCTGAGCAATTTTTCTCCTAAATTTCTTTGGCTAAATTGTTCTGCCTTTTGAACCCGCGTTTTAGTCAGGTGGTTTCTAGCCTTCGACGACGCAAAGAAGACAGAGAACTTTCAAAGGAGAGCAGTTAGTCGTCGGTACCCACAGGTGAGAACCAACTCTGGAGCGAACGTGAACAAACCAGGATGGCATCAAGGCCAATGCATTCTCATCCAATGCATTCATGAGAATGAATTGTGTGTATGGTGTACGGCGATATTGCTTTGATTTTGTGTAGTTTGCTTGTGTTTGAATACAGTACATTGGCATGAAGGGGGATTTTTTCTACCGCAGATTGACACTTAAGGTCAGGTTAGAGACGGCAGGCTAGCTGGCTGGCAGACTGGGAGTAAGTAAATGCGCAAACTTGACTTGTTTGCAACAAAGTTTCTGTCCTACTTGGCCCGTTGAAACTACGTCAGGCCATCTGTTTCGTTGTGCCAATGAATACGACTAAGTACACAGTACACAGAATACTGTCCGGAGGTTTCAAATCTCCAATTTCCTGTTCTGTTCCAAGGGAAAAGCATCAAGTGATGGCAAGAACGTTAATTCTGTTTGGACGGCTACAAATTTAACGTCCGAATAAACACTCCATGTATATGAGCTTTTTGCGGACAAACTGGCTTAAATATGTACACGTAACGTTCGTTTGAACATTTGTTTTTTCATGAGAGGCCCAAATTTTCATTGAGTTCATAACGTACCTTAACCACAAAGAATACGCCAAAAACACCCTTCACCTTCACCTTCACCGACGTAATCACAAAGAATTTTCAATTTGTTGTTGCTTCTAATGATGTATGACTAAGCCAGACCTGCCACGACCGTGCAGGGATTGTTTATACAGCTTCTAACAAATTTATGTGTATTTTATGACTTATTCATACAAAATTGTACAAAAAATACAGTGGTATCTACATGGGTTGGGCAGAAATGCTCATTCAATTTTTGTCCGTGCCCGTCTCGATTCTCATGCCTTTTGCATTATGAATTTCTATAACGTTATACCTTTCAATTGAACCTAGTACTGCCTACAGTTGTTGTAGCTGTGAAGCAAGACTTGGTCCTGGGTCAGGTCGGGACAATACCTGTAAAGTCACGCCTGGTGGTACTGTAGTGGGCGGGGCGTGCACACGGCGCAATTGTTGTGCCGCTCCGTGCGTCTAAATAGACCGAGATATTCAGGAGACTATCATGGGACGCTTCAGCTTCACAATAAGGAACTCCGGAGTAATGCCTCGCTTAAGTCACGCATTATCGGCATGCTGGTGGGCCGTGTGCACGTTCGTGACACCCTGAGCCGCCTGAAAACAGGTGCGTGCTCACTTTGAAACATTCATGCCGCTTGTCACGCCAACAGGCAGACGGCCGCCAGGCTCGTAACAATGGATCGGACAGCCGATCTTAACGACTTCTGATAACTTACCTGTCTGATAGACGACTCAAGGTTATGCTCTGGATCTTTTCAACGAACCGGCTTGCGCTCGAGGTTGGTTGGAGTTCTCCTTTGGCAGGCCACCTGGCGGACTTGTGGCCAAGATTTAGCCATCCGTGTCTACATTTCTACGGCTAGCCGGAAAGCAAGCACCGTAAGAAGGCTTGTTTTGCTTGTTCACGTTTCGCCTCTTCAGTTCTCAAGTTCTACCTGCTGCCGGCACTGGTCATTTCACCTGTGGAAAGCTGGACGTATCTGTAGTCCCTGTACTGCATATTTACATCAACTGCGCAGTCTTTGTAAAGTCTGAACTTCCGTCATGAGGAAGCTGACGCTGGTCGGGCTTCTGGTCGTCTTCGTGGGCTACATTTTCGCGGGCGGCGGGATCTTCCACTGGCTGGAGGCGGAGGCGGAGGAGAAGATGCGGAAAGACCTGTTCCGAAAGCAGGAGGAACTTCTCCGCACGCTGGAAAGGTTCGTCCATTTCGTACTATAACAGGGGTGATACATTGAATTTCATACAAATCTTGTCTTCGGCTAGCCATGATGTATTATGATAACTCTGTAAATTTGTATACGAATGTCTAAAGAAGAGAGAAGAAACATGTACAGCTTAGATATAGACATAGATATAGCTAGAACATAGCAAAGTTTGCCTAATCCTTATTTGCAACTAAAGAGTGCATTTAGCCCCACTGGGGCATGAATATGCAATAAACTTCATTGTCATCGTCACTATACTGCCCTATTTATGACCAACAAAGAGCAAATCTTCTCTGCACTCTTCAGAACCTAGTAGGATCAATTTTCGACTTGAACAACCTATCCAACAACGAGCTGGTGTGTTACGCCGAAAGGCGGTTATACCGGCCATACAGATACAGATATCCTGACAAGCCTGTGTCGACTTGCTTCTCAGGGGTTCACCCTTGTTGTCACTAGAAACCAACTGTAATATTCTGGCGTTAACCCAATCATACATTGCTGACACTAAACGCAATTCACAATGCTATAACTGCTTTGCTATAACATCATTGTTACTCTGGACTATATAAGTCAATTGATGTATATTTTGTGTTATTTATACCTGTTATTGTCAATTTTAATTCCCTTTTCTCAGCGGTGGCGTGAAAATTGTACCTTTGTGTTCTGTCATGTTGCCTAATAAAAAAGGTTCGTCGGTAGCCACGACGCGCACGACTGTCTCCAGGGCGGGACGACCTCGGAGAGTCCCTCCCCGCCCGCGCTGGACCAGCTGGACTGTCACGAGCAGCTGGGCTGCGTGTCGTCTGAAAACGTCACGGCCGTTCTACAGTCCGTTGTCAGTTATGTAAACAAGAGGGGCCAGAACCTGACCAGGGAGGGACGCTGCGTCGAGACCATCGACATGCCTCTACTGGTCCTGACTCACAGGTACGTATACCGTGCGCACTCAGGATTACTAACTACCTCATCTATATTGTGTATATCCACCTCCTATGTTGCCTTTTGATTTGATTTCATTCGACTCTGTACCGTTTTGTATTTTGATGTTCCCCTTTGATGGTGTCTTTTAAACCCACTTGGGCCGGGCGGCGTGTAGTCGCAAGATACAAATGAATAAACTTTCCTTCCTTCCTTCCCTCCTTCCTTCCTTAACTCATCCGTCCATTCATTCATGATAATCACAGGCAGCTGGATGACATCATCCTGAAGGCCCACCAGGCCGGCAGACGGGGTCTCGACCCGCTCAGCACCCAGCAGAACAGCTCCCCGCCTCAGTGGTCCTTCCTGGCGGCCGTCGGCTTCTCGCTAACGCTGGTCACCACCATCGGGTACGGGAACATCGCGCCCAGCACGTGGGGAGGCAGGGCCCTGTGCGTGGTCTACGGGCTCATCGGCATCCCGCTCTACCTGGTTTGTTTTGTTTATCTGTTTATGTATTTATTTAGCCAGGGGACATATCGCCCTAAAGGCCGCTTTTCAATGTACCCTGGGGGGACAATCCCCAAACACAATAAAAATGATAACAATATAACATAAAGTAATAACCGAACAAACTTATGTACAATCAAATTAAAATAAGTTAACTTAATGGTAAGCACGAACTTAAGTAACTGAAGAATAAGTGATCCAAAATAGGCATACATGTACATCACATAATTTCAAATCAAACATAAACAGGTTCTCCTGGACGGCGTCGGCAGACTGCCCGGCGGGCTGGTGCGGGACTTAGCTGTCCGCGTCTACATCTCCAGAGGCTGGAACGCCAACACCGTTCGGAGGGTCGTCTGGTGCTGCCTGTTCACGTTCGGTCTGTTTCTGTTCTACCTGCTGCCGGCACTGGTCATCTCGCTAGTGGAGAGCTGGACGTACCTGGAGGCCCTGTACTACATGTTCGTGTCGCTCAGCACGATCGGGTTCGGGGACTACGTGGCGGGAGTGCAGCTGGGGAGGTCCTACTGGGCCGCTTACAAGATCCTCGTCTTCTTCTGGATCGCCAGCGGACTGGCCTTCCTGGCCATGGTGTTCGATCTGTTGAAGCGGGGAATCCAGGGCCTAGATGAGCCGGACAAGACGGAGTCATACAACCTGCCCAAAACTGTTACTAAAAACCGGCGTCAGGAGAAGGTTCACAGCAACGGGGCGGCTGGACAGGCACATGTGGACATGAAGTCCGAGAATAACGACTACGTTTATGAGAACATGGCAATGGACAAGATGCAATAATCATATTTGTACGTATACGTAGCTATTAATAGCTTTAATCAGACATTTGAATAACCATGAAAAGGGCTACACTACGACATCTTTAAATACTAGTATATGAAATTATACAGCATCTGGTAACAAAGCAGGTGCACATCTTTGTGTAAATTTTCACAATGGAGAGGACTTTATGGTTTTGATTTATTTATACATACACTGAGGATAAAATCTATCGCATGACTGGCGTCACTTCTTTAATCATTTATCATGTAATACCATAAACCAGCTTGCCATTAAAAGTCGGGCTGGTTTCAAAACTTCTTATTTCAAATGTTTATGTATGAACATATCATTGCCAGGTAAGTACAATTTTATATGCAAGATACGCAGTGGTATATATCAAGGCATAAACGAAGCTGTTAAATGAACGTATAGACAACTAGCATGCCTACAATATGTATGCACACATACAGTGGAAAAGAAATATTTATTGCAATATCATTCTTGTTTTAATGTTAGGAGTGTTTATTTCTTTGCAAATCAGAAATTCTATGACACAATATTCTACAATGGGATGCCTGAAACAACAATATCAGTCATCTTCATTACAGGCTGCCAAGATGTTGTACTACTCTGGGACAGACCAGAAAGGACTGGGGCTTTGTGAATAAAATTGGAGAAAGTTGCAAAAGATGAAAGGATTATGCTGGAGAAGATGCTGGTTATATCTTAACAGTATAAAATGGTAAACATCTGGAGAAAAACTTTAAACACCAACTATACTTGTACACAAGCCCCTGTGTTCTTCCTGGTCTGTACCTTAGAAAGTTGGACTTGAGGACACTCCTTCAAAACTTCACATAACCAAGGAGCTTTATGCTCCCTGGAAACATATTAGGCATCCATCAGTTAGGTCCATACTGAACTACTCCCACCATATAACACATTAAATAAACTGTACGCCAAATATAATATATCTGTAAGACACCATTATACATATTTAAGCAGCATTTGAAGCACAAACCAGCTCCAGCTCCAAAAGCTATAGTTGATAGCCTCTAACAGGCTTCAGAAGTGGCTTGAAAGAGTAGACAGACAGCCTGCCAGGAAAGCAACAAACTGTTCTCAGACCAACTCCCCTGGCATGTTATCTATTTGACCAGGTTTTCTACTCTTTCTTCACCTGTATACCACACTAGATATGTGTACATTCTGTACTACCTCTACATTACTCGTCAGCTCCATGTGTTCAAACAAAGTTATCACACACAGTACAAGGGCTATACAAGCAGGGGAAAGATAAGATTGCATCTTGGTTAATGACTGTGGATCCCTTCACTTCATGAAAATTATGTACATCATAGCATTTGAATAGTAATGATAAATATATAGTATTACATGGTTAAACAATATTATAAAGGATTGAAATTTTTTCAGCAATCAATTATAGAGAACCACATGATATATTTGAAGGAACAGCCACTTACTAGTATTTGTACCTGCTCACTACATTCAAATAAACCCTGCTTTTAGGAACCAAAGTTCCAGAAGAAATTCAATCACCTTTCATAACCCACTATCATTTACCGTAGCCACTAACATTTTCTAATACAACGACGAAACAGGAATGTTTCATTTAAATGCAGAAGACTATTCAGTATATACTAGCAGTCAGCTACAGTAAACCATATTTTGTATGACGTAAAATTGGTACAGCTTGATATGAACAGTGAAAAAAAGCTATTACAAAACCTGATAGGAAACCAGCTAATAAAAATAGATATGTAGTATACATTACACCTTTATATATCTATTGTCACTGGAGCCATACATGTATATGAACTGTCAATGAGACCTAAACCTAGCCAATATATCTGATAATACTGGCTGTAGTAACTATTATAAATACTGACTACTAGTATTTCTTTACACATGTAATTCAAGCTCTACTTCCAATCAATAGTAAGGCATGTACACCATTGTCATGTCATGTCAATGCAAAACTTGAATATAGTAGATTAGTCACTACAAAATGGGCCATGGGAAATCTGTAGAAGTCACAAACCAGTAACTAACAAAACGAAACTCTCTGACAGAATTGATTTGTTTTTAACTTAATGCTGTATTTTGATGTTTCATGCAATAATTTCTGAAATAAGTTACATTATTGCAGCAAGCAGAAATGTACCCAGCTTGTAGTGGCTGCTGAAGCATTTTGTTAATAGCATTTTTTGTTATATACTGAAAATGTAGACTTTTGCAATGTCTAATAGGCACGTTCAACGTGTAAGAGCTATAATGCCTCAATTTCACCAAAACTACAACCACACCTCAATGGTCTATCAGTCTAATGCAGTGTAAAAAATGCTATGAAGACTTCCTCCTTTCCATTGTGAGGAGTTTCTGGGAATATTTTCATCATGTTGGTATGAGAAGACTCCTTTTCTCTGTTGTTTTATCTGTACTGTTGTTTATGTCCGATATATTTCAGTGACCATTTCCCACCTTCTTCAGGGCAACGACTGTGACAACACTCGTTGGGACTAAACTTGTGAGTTTGAGTTGTAATACTGCAGCAGTGACACCTAGCTGCAGTATGAATCAGAACCAGTCATTGTTGCCCTGAACTAGGTGGCTGACTGTCACCAAAACGTTGGCTGTGAAAACCCATTGCTTGTTGAGTAAAGAACCTTCTTGCAATCTATTGCCAACCAGATGAAATTATTCACAAAAACTCCTTGAATGCATTTGATGAGCTTGTCATTTAGGGGCCTCTGCTCTGTGGTTGCCATCTAGATAAGGCCTAGGAAAAAATGTTGTGTTTCCTGTTTCGGTCCTGAAAAAATTAAGGTCCGTATAGGTTAAGGCATTATCTATTTTTTCCCCTTTTTTAGACTTTGGTGATCTCTAGTGATTGAACTTATATAATACAGTTTAGTAAAACTTGCATGAGAACACTTATTTTTCAATGTCAATGTTGGAAACAGATTGTACAACGTTTCATCACGTGTCAGATCATGGAGCTAGAAAAGGTCAATTAGCTTTAAAAATTATGTCCCTTGCAGGAATCCAGAAATAAAAGGGCAGGGTCGGCACACCGGTCTTTCTAGGGTTGGTTGGGAAACAGGAAACAACATTTTTTTCTAGGCCTAAGGGCCTCTGCTCTGTGGTTGCCATCTAGATGAGTAGGTACCTCTGCTCTTAGCCTGGGTGCCATCCTTCGTAGTTTCTGCCGGTTCCCTAATGTCCTTGGTAGCCAGTGACATTAGGGAGCCGGTGGAAACTACAGAGGATGGCACCCAGGCTACTCTGCTCTGTGGTTGCCAGCTAGATGAGTAGTGGCCTCTGCTCCCTGGTTGTGCCGAGCATGCGGTCTTTCTCGCGCTGCAGACTGCGCAGAATGTCCTCCCGCTGGTGGTAGTTGTAGACCCTCAGTCCGGTCAGCATGGTCGCAATCAGCCAGCACACCCACCCACACCAGCTCCCAAACTGGACAGAGGGAAACAGGAAGAAAGTGATCGTGATCTACTTTTGACAAATATTTTTTAAATAGTACACACAACATAAATATTAGCTACTTTGGGGGAATTTCGAGATGCACTCTGTCTCTTCGTGAACCCAGAAATATCTCGTCTTGGAGAAATGAAATTCCCCTAGATTTTTTTAACAAGAACAATTAACAGTGGACCACAGCTTAACTTCCCGTTCTAAGGACCGCAACCCTTTACAATACTGTGCATGTCGGGTGAGCAACATTGACAACACCTGGGATTTGAACTCCCAATCTCTTGATCCAGTGGCATTAAGGTCACTAACCACTGAACTATCCGGTATCCATGCTACAGAAGGAACCACATGGTCACAAACACATGTAAATCAGCGATGAGGACTTTCATATAATAAGTGTAAGTCACAAGAGAGTTGATAGTCACAAAGAAACGTTTAATTAGTACTAATAGATCAAAGATTGCATACATGTAGATGACAGGGCTTAGTTGTTTTCTGTGAAAGTTGTGTGTGCTGAATCAAACCTAGTGGCCATACATGTACTAGTATGCAACTTGAAAGTAAATTATTCTGTGTACCTCATCATTAGTCCATATATCATGTGTTACATGTAAAATCTGTGCTATGGGATGCATACTACAGGCTGTACAGACCTGAACCATCCCTAACTGGATGTAGAAGGAGGATGTGTCTATCCCCTTCCAGTTCAGCCAGCTGGAGTACTGGGCTTCCTCACACCTGTGGTGGGCACAAACTACAAACTCACTGTAATGCACAACTGATCATAGCCTTTATCAGAGTCTTTATCCTCTATGAAAATAGGGGAGGATAAAGACTTGGAATCTAAAATACTAGTAGGTCAGGTAACCAGGGTAAAGCGATCAAGCTCTCTTCATTTATCTGTTAGCCAGGAATAGTGCACTCCTCGAGTGCTTTTATAGATTTATTTTTGTATATTGTAGCTAATGGCGGCGATGACTACTATAACGGGCAAGTAGCTCGTAGGGATGGATTGGTGGCTAACTTCTACGGTGATCTATATGGAAACTAGTGCTGCATACCTAAACCCACATTTAGGTTCAGGTCCGGATTCAAGTCCAGAGGTTTAGGTTCAGCTCCGGACTTGTAAGTCCGGACCTAAACCCATGGCATATACAAAATTGCATGTTGGGTACCTTGCAATGTTGTCTGGGTGAAATTTTGGCCACATAACATGGAGGCCGGTACTTGACGATGCCCAATGGCAATGTTTTCTTCATTTTGCAGCAAAGTTTTTGCAATCTATGGAAGGTTTTAGGCGGTTTGGAAAGAAAATGGGTATGTGAAATGGTCTTTTATGGTAATGAGTCCGGACTCGGTTCTTGACTTTTAGGTTTTTTGGACTTGAACCGAAACATTATTTCAAGTCCGGATCCAAGTCCAGTGAACCGGTATGCAGCACTAATGGAAACCTTAATAAGCAGGAGTTACTGACATGGAGATGTGCTGTGTGACCTCCTGGCACCAGGCTGACAGTCCCATGGTCAGGATGATGGCAGACGTGAACAACATCGTCGTCAGCACGAAGTTCGTCACAAATGACACAAAGGCGTCCAGGAAAGAGCTGTTAAAAGATAGGTAACAAGATGTGAAAAAAAGGTAACATTAGGTAAAGTCAGTCCCTCCAAGCCTTTTTGAGGCCATCGGTGCAGTGGGTTGTTGATCCACCTTATCTATGGTAAGGTATTGGAAGGGGGAGCCCATCCCTAGTCGGCCTCTCCTTCCTTCAGGACGAAGTTCGACACAAAGGCATCCAGGAGGGAGCTGGAAGCAGCACAGGGGGAAGATGTAAGAAAAAAAACAATATCATTGTAGTCCCATAGTCCCCTAGCCTCTTCCAATGCTTCAGAAGTGGCTGTAATGAGTAGAAACTGGCCAAATAGACACTCAGATAACATACTCAGGAGTGGTAAATTGAATGAATGAAAACCTTTATTGTACGCAAATATCCACTGGGTTCAGTACAGGTCACAGGAAAGACGTCACAGTTTGTTTACAGTTTGCAAGAAATATATACAATGTACAAGCTAGCGCTAATTCTATGTACTATGGACATACATGTATGGTCTAATAATTACGATAATTTGGCTTCTTCTCGCTTCTTAGTAATGATGTAGATATAAGTACAGGACCGACTCCCCTGGCATGTTATCTGTCTATTTGAACATTTTCTACTCTTTGCAGCTGCTTCTGAAGCCTGACAGAGGCTACCTTAGCCCTTTCCTTCCACTGCAAATCCCAGAGATTGGGGCCAAGACCTCTTGATCTCCTGTCCAGTTACCTTTACCACTTGGCCATTTGGCGTCACCTACAAGAATTGTAGTACATGAATTATTAAAAAAAACACTCTAGCAGTTCTTGATGAGGTTTTGTAGCATTTCTGATGTACACTTTGGAAAGAGAAACTGGGAACTGGTTATAACTTATAGGAACTGGTATGAAAACTTCTAACGTGGAGAATTAGAAGTGTAAAAATCAAAATCTAACTTTTTAAAATGGAACCTTCCTTTGAATGCTACACTGATCAATAACAGAATGCTTCTGTACATAACAATGGTGACAATCCAATGTTTTAAATTGTTGGTTGGTAAAACACGATTTAAAATGAAAGGCCAGTTCTAGTGTTTGTTGACTCAAACACAGAACAATGCTCTGCATTGTTTCCACATGACAGTCACATGACATCACAATAATCACATGACATAATTAGTTTCGTAACATTACATTACATTTCATAGTTATGCAGCAAGTTTAAACTGTAAACTCACCCAAATTAAACTTGCTGCATAATGACTTCTACCAACACAGATGAACTTTCAAGATAACATTTCATAGTTCTGTATATATAACGTTACACATCCTAAAGAGGTAAGGAGTGGGATCATATTCAGCCAAACAATTTAAAATCTTGTACCTCAGATTATGTCAACTGATAACATGGCTACAAGGTAGCAGAACACAGTTTTCGCCCTATGGGGATTCCTATAGTTAAGCACCTCGAGGTGACTCACTTCGACGCGGTAAAAATTATAGTAGGGTGCACTATTGAATCACGGCCAATTAATATGTTGAAATATACGGTATATTCTACAAAATAACTGAAAACCAAAAAAAGTTATCGTTTTTTAACATAATGACGACCACTTTGATTTGGCCCTCTATCGGGGTCAACGGAACTGCAGCCGGCTCACCCTGGAACGTGGTTGCTTAATGCCGCGCATTTATACACGAACAGGGAAATCTTCACAATCCAACTCATACTGTGTACAAGCCGATACCTTTCCTTACCACACAGTGCAGTTCATTCATGGCTACCTCTCACATAAGTCGCTTTAGACAGGATGCGAGAGGTTTGTCTGCACTACTTTCTATACCCGCGTCATAGACTCCGGGGGTCGCGGATAATTACTGTGTTCTGCGACCACAATTCACACGATGATGATGATGAATCAAGGAGGTCTAGCTTTGCTAAATATGACTGTGTAGTATTAACGTTACATCTTAAACATAAAGTAGACTAAGAGTAGAGTGGAGTAGAGTAGAGAATAAAGACTCATCTTACAGTGCTTGTAGACTGATAGACAGAACAGACATAATATGATAACTTCGTATTATCGTATTATAAAAATTCATACAAATGGGTTACACTTGCAAAACATGACTAAGGCTACAGTAAGAAGGTTTATTTTGGTTCATGTTTAATACCTGTCGAGTCCCTTATACAGGAAGTAGGAGGTCCTGACGACCTGCACGAATGCCACGATCATGGTGACGACGCCCATGTAGATGGAGTAGTTACAGACGGACTGGGAGCCCCAGTAGGTGACGTCCATCCTCCAGCCAACCTCCGAGCTCGCGTTCACACTCCAAGTTCCCCTCGCGTAGAGCAGGCACTTGCCGTCAAAGTTCCTCTGATTCTGGCCCATTGGAACCGCCATGAAGAACGATAACAGCAGTGCCAGCACGTATGCCGTGCACTGGGACAGCAGGAGAGTGTTTCCGATACCCATGACTTGCGGGAATAGGTTTTACATCGCTAGAAATAAACTACAAAATTTACTACTTCTTGTTTCATATTTCCTCCATTTTGAGGTCCCCCAGTCACCAATGTTTTGGGGCCTCTCGATCTTTATGGTGGCCTATAGTATAAACATAGGTGCCAGAATATTATAAGAATAAAAACACTCAGCTTAGAAAAACTATTCACAAACAAACAAAATATACTTTTGTTATATAATACTGTATAATATTACTACAAAAATTCGTTAGATTTCAATATTTATACATTTAGCAACTCTAACAGGCAATGAGTTATTGAATGTGTCAGCCAGCTGCAGGCGGAACTCCAAGCAGACGCGGAAACATGGCGGACGAAAGTGCGGTCGGCGTTACGCCCATATCTAACTCCAATCCGACCCATCCTGTGGCCATGGAAGGTTGGTTATACCTCAGCATATCGTGAAAACAATCTAGACATATGATAGAGTATGGTGTACTCATTATTTTAAGGTACATCATTCAGAAGAGTGTAGTTTTTAACCATCAATGGAACAGATTTCCAAAGTTTGGATGCAGAAACGTGACCGCTCGCTCAAGAGGATGGTCATGTTTACAAGCCGTGTTTCTCAAATATACAGCTCCGAAATTGTGTATCCAGCTTCCTCATAACCTACTGGCATTTTCAGACTGACTTGTGTTTTTATTTATTCCATTTCTTACCCCAAAATTGCCATCACGATCGTGTAAAAGTGTGTGTGTAACTCGCTGTTGCCCAGACATCGCATATCTCTAGTCGCCGGTCCAGTTCCAGTGCATATCCTGGTAGATCAGATCGGATGTAGACATTTGGTAACTGTCTGCAGGGAACTAGAGACCCAAAAAAGGGGGTTTCATTTCGTCCATACATGATGCAAACGTCGCCGGGCATATTTTTGGCAGCAGGCCACGAGACATCTAAACATTTTTTTGCTAAGTTTCCACACTAAAGAAACTTTTAAAGTACCCTTTTGCCGAAATATACGCCCTTGGCTGTGAAGAGAGAGAGTATCCGGCCCACCGCCATATTTACTAACCGGAAGATGTACTATTTCACTACATCGCTAGATGTCGCTGTTCATGTTGCTCTTGGAAGCCCCCGGATGTACTAGAGGGCATGTATGGGGGTGATAGTGATTACGGATTACGCAAAATTTTCGCCACCGATTACGAATTAAGTAAAATTCTCAGAGCTATTAAAACTTTATGCATTAAGGCTAATATAATATTACGAATTTCATTGATTTGGAGGGCGACTGCCAACGGATTACGAAGACTAAAATGGTCCGATTACGCCTCAGGAAAAAGGGCATGCAGGCTTCTACAACGAGCATTCCAGCTCTCAGGTACGTACCGTGCCTCAGTATTTACGCCATATAAATGTAAAAATATCAGCAATGTTATGAGTATTAGTCATAGAGTTACAGGAAAATAGTATAGCTAAAAGTACCATGGGCAAGGGTGATCAATCTAATTGTGCTTTGACGCGCTGTTTAACAATATTTAGTAGTCAAACTGACTGCCCCCTCCTCTTTGGATTTACAAATGCGTCTAACAATCTCTTTTCGGTATGATCAAATTATGCAAGGCTAAGTTTCTTGCTTTAATATTAAAATTAATTACCGGCAGATGCTTGCCAATCTTAAAGTTTGTTCTCTGGAGTGTTTCTACGGTATCGCCTTAATTTTTTTGTATTGTTGCATAAATTATTATTTTCTTTCTTACAAATTTTCGCTGTCAGTGGGGGGGGGCGGTTCAGGCTTTTCATTCGTCGCCAGTATTTTGTTGAAAAAACTTTGAGCTTTCAAGCTATTCGGTTCACACGTAAATCTTTCCTGGTATCAAACATATCTCAATTTCATCAAGAAATTTGAGTGTACTCAGAAACCTAAGAATTGTTCATCAATATGGCAACATATAGAAGCTCTCTCAGTAGTATATGGGTAATTTTGAAGACTTTGATGTGTTCTTTTAGCAACGAGAACTCAATATTTATGTGCACAGTTGCAAATTTTATGTTGAAACAAATTATTTGTCATCTCTTTCAGATGTGTCTTTGGCATTTGGATACCACAAAGCAATCAACCTATGCCACCATTCACTCAATACCAGCCTGTGCCACCGTGCACTCAATACCAGCCTGTGCCACCGTGCACTCAATACCAGCCTGTGCCACCGTGCACTCAATACTAATGTGCCATTGTGCAGAACTTGCAGATTGTATACTGGATGAGTCCATGTCTCACGAGTGAATTATTAAAACCAGAAACTGTATCTTGCCCTGAAACCAAATATTCAATAAACAATCTGAACACATACATTTAGAATCTGTGTATACTTGTGTCACATTTCTTACATATAAGCCATTAATTGCCTTTGCCCACAATGTGTGAAGCTATACTATCAGGAAAAAAAAAGGTAACAACATTTTCAGTGAAACTAGCAGAGGTGGCATGTGATTTTCTTGTGCAAAAGTACAATGGCGGCAAACGACAGCTTTTGTAAAAGCACTTGTTTCAGTCAGTTGATTTGATCGAAAGATCAGATGTGGCGTGTTGTTGTGACAGACGCAGCTTGAGTTCAGTTTCGTGCCTGTGAGGCGCTGTACATGTTTTCCCACGGTTGGAGAACTGTTGGCCACAGCACAGAACAAACATGCTTCATTTAGGCAGTATCTATGCAGGTATTTTAGCTAAGTGTGTGTGTGTAGTGTTGTGCATATATGAAAAGAGCTACTGGTGCAGAAAAAATTACTATATTATATGCTTGTTGAGCCGTGAAATTGTAGGTATGATATAGGGTTATGTATCTACAGAGTTCACATGAATACATGTTGTACCTGATCATGTTTTGCGACTGAAAATCACAGTATTTGACGCCCCCAAATTTGCAAGTATGATGCATGCAGACTACTTATTCAAATTTACAATTGTACATTGTAAGTACAATTTAGTACCATATAATTTCAAAGGTGAGGACGTACATCATACATGCAACTTGTAAGCAGTCCTTCCTGGAGTGTCACGCTTGAAGTCAAATGTTCAACACCACAGATGGTTGTCTTATTCTGCCAGAACAGAATTGTAAAATGGAAAGGCCATATTCCATCTGGTCTAGCAGGGTCTAGATACTAATTAAATGGGTTGTGTATTGTCTCTGAAACATAGGTCCGAGTTATTTTTACGTGTCTCCTGTGTTCCTGACAGAATAACAAATGACCTTTTGTCAATTTGACAAATGTATCCATAAACCAAGGATCAGTATTTCAATAACTTAATAAGCCACTCAAATGATAATCCGCATTCCGTCAGTGGCATATTAATACATAACGATTACTAAAACATGGTTGGAATGCTTTGAGTCCAATCTTGTAGTCCAAGCACATCCTTTGGTGGCTGCAAGACAGTATCAAATTGGCCAGACAGAATCCATTTTTCACCAATTTGGCTGATGTAAAACAGTGAAAGAAAAGGTACCATTACAAAAAAAAAAAAGAAGCCAGATAAAAATGCCTAAAATTAAAAACATGTTAAAAATAAGCTGAAGCTTGAACCTCTGCTTGCAGAGTTAGGTGTATGACACAGCATGTTTTGCTGCCAAACAAATGCACCTGATCACCTCTACTTTCATGATAGTGTTAGTCTTGATACATACAACCTATATAATAAGCATAACTGTAGAGTTAGGGTAGATATCAGCTTGCTAGATATGTAGTACCTGTAAGAGCTTGCCATACATTGTACCTGTTACAGTTTGATGTGCAATAAATTGATTGTTTTCCACAGTACCCAGTATGGAGATGGCCCTTGGGACGGAGCTGGCGTACACTAAGGGTGCCAGCTCAGAGAACAAGCCAGACTCGCCCGAGTACTGGAAGGGAGCGAAGGAGGAGGAGCCGGACTCTCCTGAGCTGGAGAAGTACTGGAAGGTGGTGAAGGAGAACCCACAGGACTTCACCGGCTGGACATACCTGCTGCAGTATGTGGAACATGAGGTGAGAAGGGAGACTGAAAAAGGAACATGCATGAAACAATCTTACACTTATTAACTTACTAGCCTGACTAAATCATGCTCCTGGCAGCCGCCCACCCGCCCCAAAGGTTGGGGTCATTAACTCCCGGCCAAGAGCTTGTGTAAACACAGGCTACTAGTGGTAGCCCTGTGCAACATTTGGGAACAAAAATATCTAAAGAATAGCACAGTTGGGTAAGTATGGATAGTGGAAGGCCTTTACAACAATTTGGAACACAAAGTATATTAGAATTTGCACTGTCTTACATTACAGTCATGTGATAGTTCAGTTGGAAGAGTATTGATAGTGGTAGCCCCATACAACATTTGGTGATAAAAAAACTACTAGAAGTAGTAGTAGAATGGACTTAGACTTTAGGCCTTCTTTGGAAATTGTTATGAAGAAAAGTGGACATCCAATAAACGGTTGACAAGTAACAGCACTGAAAATTGTTTTTATAATGTTGGGCAGACAGATATGTAACTTCTGACAGCTGGCTGAAGCCTGGCTCCATAACTGGCAGCAACATGCTTTGAGTTGACACGTATTTGACATGTGTTACCTTTTGTGATTTACTGATTCAAAAACCAGCTGGATGTATGTGTGTTAGGGTGAGATAGCCGTGTTTATGGTGAACTGTTGATTGAACTTGATATGATTGAGTCTGGTGCAGAGTCATCATTCTAAAATTATTTCCTCATAAAAGTTCAAGAAAAATGCTGCCAAGTTGTGATGTAAATTACTTATCCCATGAAAGGAAGAACTCTGTTGATGTGTAACTGTTGCTTGAATGAAAAACATCCCACAAATCCACATGCTGTTTCCATGTTACACTAATCTTGTACTGCAGTTCCTGAGTTTTTCACAGTACTTTTATGTTCTATGTTTTCATAGTCACTTTTATACTGTGAACTTCTCATTAGCATCACATGGGACCTCCATTTAGCGTCGTATTCGAGGGATGGCCCTAACCAGAGCTAGGTACTCATTTTCGTCTGTGGAAAGTGGAAAGTGCTTTCCCACGGGCACAAGACCGGTGGCATGGCTGGATTCGAACCCAGGACCTCTAGTTCTGAGTCAAACACACTGCCGTTACACCACACAAGCCCACAGTGAATCGTAGTATTCTATTTTTCAGCAGAAAATAACTGTAGTCTTTCTCTTCTCCTTTCCAGAACAAGTTGGTTCAGGCGAGGCGAGCGTTCGACGCCTTCTTCATGCGCTACCCGTACTGCTACGGCTACTGGAAGAAGTACGCAGACGTGGAGAAGAAGCACGGGAACGTAGAGCAAGCCCAGGAGGTAGGCGGGGAGAGAGTGTGCGCCCTCACCGGTCCCTCTGGCAGCAGAGCCAATTACAAGTGAAACAGCGCTCGAGGGTTAACGTGTACCAGGAAAACATGGGCATGGAGAAGGCAAAAAAAACATAGCCCGAACTCGAAACAAAACCCAACATTGACGTACAGATTCGAGGATGAATTTGGCACAATGTCGCTTCCAAAATTGTCCTTCGGTCGTAAAATTGATGGTGAAAGCGGTAACCTTTGCCTTGGCTGCCAACAGCTGTGTGGTCTTGAGTTTCACCCTGCCCATACCTCCCGGACGACATACCATCTGGGCACAGGAGGGCGGGCAGGGGAAACCTCGAGCCGTGATGTGAGGAACCCGGTTGTGCTGTTTATATACTTGTGGTTGGCTGTCTGCTCCGCGCTTGTCTTCTTTCCGATTTCCCTCTGGATTTATTTTGGGCGTTTTGGTTTGTCTCACGTCCATGTTTTCTGTCTCCACAGGAGTTGATCCAAATTGACAGGGACCATTGCACGCCATAGAACGTACATAGTCTGCTCCTTCATGGACCCAACAGTCACTTTTGTGTTTTTGTTATTTGGAATTTCAAATTTTCAATGATTGTTGCATTTGTAATTTTGTCTCCTCGTAATTTGACCGGTAATGGCTGTGTTATATAAAGAAAAGAAACTTGCTGTGAATGGAGTATGTAGTATCATTGTTAACATCTGTACTTAATGGGTCCTTACAAGCATTACACATACTTCTGAAGAATGCAGAGCACCGAGCGTAGCGATCCCGAACAGGCTCGGGAGTGGGAATGACCATTGCCATGCTTCAAAGATGACATGCTTGTTTCCGCGCTCCAACGGTAACGTCAGGTTGAAGTCTACGTCTTAACCCATATATATTCATTTTCACTGTTAGAGATTAAGTCTTTATTCACTTCAATACAGATTTCTGCCCGACTTTAGTTCACGAGTATTTCCTCTGGCCTGGTGCCGGCCTGAAGGCTCCTGTTGTGTTAACGCCCTGCTGTTCCCTGTATGATTTTCTAAGGTCTATGAACGAGGATTGAAAGCAATCCCACTGAGCGTGGACCTCTGGATCCACTACATAAACTTCGCCACCGAAGTCCAGACAGCCGACGAGGTGGGACAGGCCAACCTCAGAAGGTAAGATGTCGTTTTCGTTCCTGAGGAAACTAACAAGCTTAAGATATGACAGCACATCAGCAGAACGTACTTTGCCTGTGTACAACTTGTAATGCCTCATTTAAGGCTTATTCACGTAGTGAAGGATGTCATTCTGTCTTGTTTTCAAATTTTGTGTCAGGAAAAAATATCGTTTGCAACAGGCAAAATTCTGATCTAATGCTGACATCCAATGAAAAATCTGCGTTTTGCGCAGGTGCATTACCCCATATTTATGTACTAGTTGTTGCCACGTAACCTTGGAAAGATACGGCTGCAGGGTTCAGTATTGTTGGGATGGCATCGCAAACACCAAACGTCGAGATGCAGCCAGGTTGTGCTGATCGTGTGTCCAGCGTTTGTGTTTGGATGGTTCAAATTGTTGGTCTCATTTCTTAATAACTAACAAACTTAGATGTTGAGATATGACAGCAAGTTGGAAGAACATATACTGTGCCTGCATGACACCCTATTGTGCATAGCAAGAAACTAACAAGCCAAGATATGACAACACATCGCCAGAACATACTGCACCTGTATGTCTCGTCTTCATAATGTCTCGTTTTAGGCTTATTCATGTATTTAAGGGTGACATTCTGTCTCGTGTTTTCAAATGTTGTGTCAGGAAAAAAAATTGTCTGCAACGGGCAAAATTCTGATCCAATGTTGACATCCAATGAAAACTTTGAAAAATCCAGGTTTAGCGCAGGCGCAGTACGTTCTACCGATGTAGTAATTGTTGCCACGTAAGGCCATGTTGATTTGATTATATGGATGACATCCGCGCGCGCATGAATTTTCGGCCGTTTCAAAAAAGTTTTCAACCATACTGTAAATCGTACAAAACAGTTGCAAAATGAGCAAAAATATACCGTAAGTTACAAAAAAACCATACCAATGTCGTAGAATGCCAAAATCAAATGAAAAAAAGACGAAATTGTAAAGAAATGAACTTGAAGACTAGATTATTCGCCAAACCATATTCTGTCCCATTTGTTCAACCCTCATGACCACGTAGATTTCATAATGAAAACAATGCAAAACTTTTTTTTTATTCGCACTCGCGCATCAATTTTGGGGTTCCCGGAGGATGTCATCCATATAATCAAATCAACATGGCCTAACCATGAAAAGATACGGATGCAGGGTTCAGTATTGTTGGGATGGCATCGCAAACACCAAAAGTCGAGATACAGCCAGGTTGTGCTGATCGTGTGTCCAGCGTTTGTGTTTGGATGGTTCAAATTCTTTGGCAGCTGTTAAATGAGTCCGTCATTCACTCCTATTTGGACAAACATTTATCTAACTCAGACAAACCTGGTAGAACCCCTGGCAGACGTGCTGGATGAAGCATCTGGGTTGTAGAGTTACTGGACTTGATTGATCCCTCAAATGTTTTTTCAGGTCATAACTTTTATGTAGTTCACCAGTGCAGGACTTTCAGGATCTACAGTTGCCTTTGCCAAGAATGTTGTTTTCAGTAGCATTTTGTTTGTGATTCTGTGTGATTGTAAACACGATAACTCGAGAAGGCTTTGATTGATTGTCTGGATATTTGGTTGGTGGGTAGGTCTTGATGAGACATCAAAATGATAAGATTTTTGGCCCCCTTGTGGCTTGTTACGGTACTGCAGCAGAACTTCAGGTTTTGATATCTCATGATCTGGACATACATGTACTAGGGTCACGAATTTTGGATGGTAGATATAGCTCTTGGGCTCCAGAAGAAGTTACTCTAGTTTGGGCCCCCTAGCAGCTTGTTGTGGATATGTGGTGAGCTGACCATGTCCTGTGTTCATTGTCCAGTGACATATCAGTGTTCGAAATACCTCTTCCTCTTCCAGTTGAAGTGACCGCTATCATCAAGTTGATCATTCTGTCACTTTTAGTTGAAGGAGGCGAGAGGTCACCAACCTAAGACTGATGTAGTTTGGAAGCCCTAGACACAAAGGTGTCAACGGATGTGGCTTCCACCGTTGTCTGAGGCAGAGCATTCCATTCTTTGACAGTACGTGGCAAAAAAGAGGCCATACGGTACTGGGTCCTACCACCTGGCTGTACAAACTGTTGGCCGTGCACCCTTCTCTCACGTACTGGGGCAGGCTGTAGTTTACCCCTAAGACCATCTGTGCAGACGATATTATGCTGTATGCGGTATAGCATGGCAAGTCGGGCTGTCTTTCTTCGGGCCTGAAGACTGGGCCAGTTCAGGTCCTCTAGCATTTCTGTGGGACTTGACGTTTGCCTGTAACGTCTCATCACGAAACGTGCTGCTCTGCGCTGAACTGCCTCTAGCCTATCAATGTCTTGTTGGGAATGAGGGTCCCAGACTGTCGCCGCATATTCAAGTATGGGGCGTACATAGGTCTTGTAGGCCAATTCTTTAATGCGCCTGGAGCTGATCTTCAGGTTCCTCTTTAAAAAGCCCAAGGTCTTGTTGGCTTTGTTACAAAGGTTGTTAATGTGTTCTTTCCAGGTAAGGTCTTTTGTTATAGCTACACCCAAGTATTTAACACTGGGAACCGTCTTGAGGGTATGACCATGGAGCTGGTAGTCGTACTGAAGGGGTCTCCTACTACGGGTCACCCGCAGAGTGACCCGTAGTCACCCGAATACCTCAGTCTGCAATCTGCAGATAGATTTTCAAGATTGCAGAAGAAAAATTTATACAATCTGCAATTTTGCAGCAGGAAAAATTGGCACTTGGGATTTGGCGCTCTTGGCCCTAAGGACAGACAACACTTTAATAAGCTCCTGTTCTGAAACAACAGGAGCTTCTTCACTAATTTGCATCAACCTTGTCTTGACTTGTCTATCTTTTGTTTCTTTTTGGACTTCCAAAAATTTGTCTTCACTAATTTGCATATCAATCAATAGTTCATGCTTATAAACCTGCAAGATTGTAGTATGGAGGCTTGTGTATTTGCAGAAAGTATTTCCAAATTGCAGAACAAAATTTTGACTTTTCAGCAATATTGCAGAGCACCGAAAAAAAGTATTTCGACCACTGCATTTGTACAGAGATTTTGTGCCTCACTCCAGTGTTCTCCCCCCCCCCCTGCAGTGTGTATGAGAAGGCGGTGACCGCGGCCGGCGCAGAGTTCCGTTCGGACCGGCTGTGGGACCTGTACCTGGCCTGGGAACTGGAGCAGGGAAACCTGAAGAACATCACAGCCGTCTACAACCGCCTACTCAACATTCCCACACAGATGTACAGCCACCACTTTGAGAAGTGAGTAGAACGCAGGCAGAGGAAGCAAACATGATCATGTACCATTACATTGCCTGTGGAATTGGGTTATGAGAACTGTTCCAATTATAGACTGGTGTATTTCGAAAGGAACATACATACAACATACATATAAGTTGCAAATTGCAGCCCGCAGGCTGAATTGGGCAGCTTTTACAATGGGATACACAAGTAGAATATATTTAACATGTACATAACTTAAGCATAAGCATCAAATATTGCACTAGATTATTGCACTTTTTATTGCACTAGATTATTGCACTTTTATGTTAAAATTACGGCGTTACAAGAACGGTTACAAATTACATGATATAGCTAAAAACGATTACAACAAACATAAGATAAAACACTATTACAACATATACAGCTATTATGTAGGGGGTAGTTGAGTGCAGAGAGAGTTCTGTTGGAAAGAAGGTTTTTCAAAGTTGCACTTACAGCTTGTGCTTGATGCAGTTTCCTGAAACGAAAAGTATAAAAGACTACAAAGACAAAAAATTTAGATAGAAACTAATCTTGAGTAGTATTTGTATACATGTATATTGTTGATATGAATTGTTCATTTTTCATTTAGTGTTATGCAGTAGTGGTAGAAAACTAGTTCGAAGCCACTTAGTTTTAGAGTTGGGTGGCATGTTTTACATTGAAACTATCCTGTCTGCTACCTCTGTTGCTTTTGTCCAGTTCACACACAAGAGCTATGTTCTTGTGCTTAAACTTGTCATGTGCACAAATAACTTGGCAGAACAACAACCTACAAACCTCTAGTTGACTTTTGCTGACCATGATTGACTATATTTTGCCTTCATAGGTCCATGACCTCCAAACCTAACATGCTATTTTGGTCCTGTGGTTTTCAATCACATGAAGTCAAAATAGTTCCAACAGTGAACCAGTTATTAGTCAATCTGATAGTTTAACACATTTAAAATAAAGAGAATTTTAACTTCCTAATGTAAGAATAATGCCTGTTATAAAGTTAAAACTCAACTTTCATTTTTTCCATTCTGTAAAATCTCGTCTGTTTTTGCTGTGGAATTTATTGAGTTGAGTTTGGCCTTTTCTCTAACTGGCATTGCCTGCCCCAAATTCTTTACAGGGTAAAGCAAAATGTATCTGCTGTGAAATGCGATGTGTTCCCCACCCCTGGTGATCAGGTTCTGATGGGGTAGAAGGCACCAGTATGTACCAGCCTGTATTTCATCTCATTTTCCTGAATCCTTTGCCTTTCCCTAACACCCGTCGTCTGACAGTTGGTCCTGAAATTTTCCTGGTCATCTGAGATTTTGTTTTTTTTATTATCCTCTTTCCATCCTGATACATTTGCAGACTAAAGGCAGGAATTTGAAATGATTAGGAACAGGTCAGTAAAGACAAGGGCTGTCCCCAGGTTTTGAAGCTGGAAAGGCTACTGTCAAAGTTCTTCCCCTAAAAACTACCAAACAGCTGTACAAACATAAGAATACAAAAACTATACGTTCAACAATTTACACATTCTTGAAAAAAAAAAGGAATTTCTGAATTAAAAATCAGACATCAGAAGATATAATGCTGTTATTGGTTTGTATTTTTTTTTTTTTACCAAATGAGGAATTTTAGTCAGTCAATGAAGAAAACTCATCCACAACATTCCTGTGCAGACCCTGTGGATATCCCTTGTTAGGATTTGTTTTTTTTTTCTTTCTAAGGCCACACCAATTTAATTTGTTGGTTCACGGATTCGCTCGCTTCATTTTTGTTCTAAATTGAAGCATTTCAGCCTCTGAATCAACTCCAAAATGCTCATACTTTTGCCCAACAGTTGAAGAAAGCCCCCTCTCTGCAGAGTTGTTACAGTTTTTCTATCTCTCAATGCAGTGGTTTGATTAAAGGTTTGAAATTCATTGTTTTGAATGACAAACTTGTATGCTGACTTCATGGCTCCTATTAGTCATAGCACTTGGGGCTATGATAGGATGCCTAGATCTGTTTTTATTTTTATTTTTGCCCTGTCGCTTCATATTTTTTCTGAAAAAATCTGTGAACCAACAAATCAAATTGGTGTGGCCTAAAGTCTGTGTTCAACAACTACATGTAACTCTGCGACTCCCTTTTTCCACAGGTTCAAGGACCATGTGAACACCAACCTGCCCAAGGACATCCTGCCTCTGGACGAGTTTCTGCAGCTGCGCACGGACGTGCTGGCCAACACGCCGGGAATCGAACCCGAGATCCCCGGAGCCGAGCCTGACGACGGCCCGCCGGGTGTGGTGCCTCCTCCTGGCGTCACGGCTTCTCCTGACAAGGTGACTTATATGTACTGTGTTAAAGTTATATAGTAGAGGGGGATTCATTCCTCAAGCTACCGACATCTTGCTATATGTACTGTGTTAAAGTTAGTTTAAGTCCTCCCTGGGACCATCAGCATGGTTGCATATAATGTCGCCCATCTAAATTTCTGTAGCACTTGGGCCACACAGTTGTGTAATCACTACAGCAGGGGGCTAGTCCACTGGTAGTGCTGTGTGTTTAACTCCCATACTCTTTCTCAAATGCTGAAAACTTTGCAATTGGTCAGCCCAGTTGGGGAGAGCTGAGAGATTCAAACCAACCATTGCTGATTGTATGTGGTTTGAAATCATCAAGTTTTGAACTGACAGGAGTTTCTTTTTCTTACCGTAACGGAATGCCACCTCCAGTAAAATGTTGTTTTTGTGTGTGTAAAGGTTGTGTCTTGTGTGAGTTGTGTGCGTATCATTGTATTAGTTGTGCTTGCTGCGGAGAAAGGCCAGACATTTTGTATATGTTTGTTTCCATAGATCGGCACCAAACCCAAGTCTGTTGTTCCACCTTTTGTAGACTGTGTGTCCCAGGTATTGCCCTTACACGATCAAGCCTTTTTTGTTGCTGGCTGTGTTTGGTTTGGTGTGGTTCTGCTTTTCTTTGGTTTGCCTGTTATTTTGTCAAATTGTTGTTTTATCAAGCAATGTTCCTGAATTTGATTCCTGAAATTATACCCTCTCCGAAGTCAATTTGATGGTTTCTTTTACTCAAATACATGAATGAGTGAGTGATATAGTGGTTCCAGGTCCCCCTCGATTGGCTATTAGTAGTTCAATGTTTTTATGAAGAAAATTTCCAACACAAGAAACTGAACTTTTGAATTTTTGACTGTACAACTCCAGTTGTTGATTCCATGACAAAGACTGGAGTTGTATGGTCAAAAATTCCAATTTCTTGTGTTGAAAAGTACAGTTCAAACTTGCTTCATAATGATCATAATGACTTCTACTAACACTGATGAACTTTCAACATAAGTTCCATATTTGCGTGGTACTGATAGTTGTGTTTATCCCCCAGCCTGATGCAGAGACTCTGGCTATCAGAGAGAAACTCATCTCCACCAGGAGAGCCATCTACAGCACCACCGAAGCTGAGGTCAGCAAACGATGGACCTACGAGGAGGGGGTGAGTCAGTTGTACTGAGTTAATGACAGGGTTAAAAGAGCATGTCTGCAGAACATACTACACCTGTGCGAAACCTGTAATGTGGTTGTATATAGTACTTCAGCAGAACGTCCCATTTAAGGTTTTATCCGCACATTCAAAAATGACATTCCTTCTATAGTTTTGAAACATGTTAGAAAAAGTATCGTCTGCAACAGGTAAAATTCTGATGCAGCATGTACCAAACATCCTATGAAAACTGCGTAGGCACAGTATGTTCTGTAGTCATTCCACATTGAAGGTAACATTTTTTTTTTCAAGTATTACATTGTCTTAAATTCTACAGTGATATGTTGTCTTTTGGTCAAAAAGTCTCCCTCATTTATTCCAAGATGTGAACTTAGACCCTGCAATTGTAAGAATATACTCTATGTACCCTTCCCAGTGGTCGAAATACTTTTTTTCTGTGCTCTGCAAAATTGCAGAAGAGTCAAAATTTTGTTCTGCAATTTGGAAATACTTTCTGCAAATACACAAGCCTCTATACTACAATCTTGCAAGTTTATAAGCATGAACTATTGATTGATATGCAAATTAGTGAAGACAAGTCAAGACAAGGTTGATGTAAATTAGTGAAGAAGCTCCTGTTGTTTCAGAACAGGAGCTTAAGTGTTGTCTGTCCTTGGGGCCAAGAGCACCAAATCCCAAGTGCCAATTTTTCCTGCTGCAAAATTGCAGATTGTATAAATTTTTCTTCTGCAATCTTGAAAATCTATCTGCAGATTGCAGACTGCAGACAGGTATTTCGAACACTGCTTCCATTGGTAAAAGCTTGTCCTTTTTTGAAACATCTTCAATTCTATTAACTTAATGCGGTCTGAAGTAATGCTGTGCCATTACCTGCATACCATGTTGTACATTCACTATCCACTGCCAACACTGACATTCACACATATTGACAAGCTATAAATTATACACCTTGAAGTAATAGATTACTTTGCTATGTGCTTTGGGATGCCTTAACTTGAAAACATGGAAGGTGGGTTAGGTAAAACGGTAGGGGAGTTAATTGTAACAAATCACAAATGTAATTATATTGATAAGCTCATTAGAAGGGTGTTGTGTGGTATGATTTAATTGAGTTTCTGTCCTTGGGGGATTTGCTGGCCTTTAGCTGTGTTTGCACTTGGGTTTGAAATATTGATGTGGAGGGAATAGGTGGTTTGATGACTGTTGTGAACCAGTTGGGCCTTAGAAAAAAAATGTTGTGTTTCCCGACCGACCCTAGAAAAACCTGCCGACCCTAGTCTTTCTTTTATTTGTGAATCCCAGCAATTACATTCTTTTTTCAAGGGCTGATCAACCTTTTCTACATGTAGCTCCATGATCTGACACCTGAGAGATGAAACATCATTGTACAAATTATAGGTTTTCCAACATTGGTATGGAAAATATAAGTGTCCTCGTGAAAGTTTTACTTTGTTAAACTGTATTGTTTGAGTTGGATCACTAGCCAAGGTTAAAAAAAAGGAAGAAAAAAAAGATAATCCCTACCTGCCGACCCTAGTCTTTCTTTTTTTTTGTGAATCCCAGCAATTACATTCTTTTTTCAAGAGCTGATCAACCTTTTCTAGCTCTACATGATCTGACACCTGAGAGATGAAACATCATTGTACAATAGGTTTTCCAACATTGGTATGGAGAATATAAGTGTCCTCGTGAAAGTTTTACTTTGTTAAACTGTATTGTATGAGTTGGATCACTAGCCAAGGTTAAAAAAAGGAAGAAAAAAAGATAATCTCTACCTACCGACCCTATTTTTTCGGGACTGAAACAGGAAACACAACATTTTTTTTCCTAGGCCTTAAAGGTGTCAGTGTGCAGCTCGTAAGTGCATATTTGATGTCTCAGTCCTCTAGTCTGCTCCCATTTTAGGACAATATGCGCCCAAAATTATTAAGTGGTGCACTTGGAAATTTTTCTTTGGGTTACCCAGCATTCGCATCAAAACTTGTAGGAACTATAATGTCTATATCAGGAAGTACAGGGCCTGTGTTGAAAACTTGAAATACTGTTAATTCACTCATGTTCATGGTAGCAACGGTTCACGGTCTGAGAAAAATGGACATGTTCACGGAACTATATATTCACTGTGGTGGTAGGTGCAGGAAAAAGAAAGTCCAGGAATTATTTGTTAACTAATGATTATTAAGTTCACGGTACAGAAATGACAGTGAAAACAGTGAACATAAAAGTAAGTACAATGAAAAAATCAGGAATTACAGTAGTAGCAGTGTGGCCATGTGCCAATTGTAAAAGTCAAGTTTCTATGCTTACCAGACGTCATGACATCTGGGTTAGGGGTCAGCAGGATGACGTGTCAGCTGGCAGGAGAAGACTTGTGGAGTCAGGAGAAATTTCATTTTGCTGGCTTAGGAAGTTCCACAGTTTCATCACTGGGGTCTTTGCAGTCAAGGATAAATGGTTTATAGAGCAATGGGCAAATAATTTTTACCATCCCAGCACCAGTGCTTTCACCAGCAGTGTTGAATGTCTCTCACCTGCTTATGTTTCGATGCCCGTCAGACACCCTCCTCAGAGCTTCTGACTGGAGTATTGCTTCTCACCGCTGTAAGCTGCTAATGCGGTTGGCACTTTTGCGGTGAGAACACAATCCCAAACGTGGCTGAGTTTCTACCCCCCCCCCCACCTCGTCCTGGTTCATATCACTGGGGTTGACTTTCTTATCCAGAGAGCCTTTTAGATCCTCCGATTTTCTATGTTTTACCAACCTGATGAAATTATTTTTAGGGCATTTTTGTTTCCTCCCAGATCAAGATGCCGTACTTCAGCACGTCGAGAAAACGTACTGCGCCTGCGCAAAACCCTGATTTTTTGCAGTTTTCATTGGATGTTTGGTCAACGTTGCATTAGAATTTTTCTTGTTGCAGAGGACATATTTTCCAACATTAACATTTGGAAACTACAGATGGGATGTTAACCTTATATGCGCAAATACGACCTTATATGAGACGTTCTACCGAGGTGCTATGTATAATACATTACGGCTTTCGCGCAGGTGCAGTGTGTTCTGCCGACGTGCTCCGTACTTCCATGTAAAGCCTTTACAATAATATTTTTTAGTTCTGCTGCCCTGAAATTGCATTGGATGCCTTCAATTCCTGTTTTCCCAAAGATCATCACAGGAAGTCAAGGATAGATCAATTATTGGGCAAGCCATTTTTTCACGTTAAAAGTTTAACTCCCTGTCTGTTTTTTCCCCACAGATCTGAAGGCCCTACTTTCATGTAAAGCTGTTACTGTTTCACTGTCCTGAAATTGCATTGGATGCCTTTAATTCCCTGCCTGTTTTCTCATACAGATCAAGAGGCCGTACTTCATGCAAAGCCGTTACAATATTCTGCCGCCCTGAAATTGTATTGGACGCTGGTTTGTTAAGCCGAAGGGCAGTTATAGTAACTTATACTGGCTATACAGATACAAAAGCTGGTGTGTTATGCCGAAGGGTGGTTATACCGGCTATACAGATACAGAAGCTGGTGTGTTATGCCGAAGGGCGGTTATACCGGCTATACAGATACAGAAGCTGGTGTGTTATGCCGAAGGGCGGTTATACCGGCTATACAGATACAGAAGCTGGTGTGTTATGCCGAAGGGTGGTTATACCGGCTATACAGATGCAGATACAGATGCCTTTAATTCCCTGCCTGTTCTCCCCTACAGATCAAGAGGCCATACTTCCATGTGAAGCCTCTGGAGAGGGTCCAGCTGAAGAACTGGAAGGAGTACCTGGACTTTGAGATGGAGCAGGGGAACCACGAGCGCATGGTCGTCCTGTTCGAGAGGTGCATGATCGCCTGCGCACTGTACGAGGACTTCTGGCTCAAGGTTGGTTGGTTTGAATGAATGAATGAATGAATGAATGAATGGTTTATTTCGATACAAACTAACGAAGAATTGAAAAAGGTTATATCGTGGTTTGAGGCAAATAAATTATCAGTCAATGTTAAGAAGACATACTACCTTATTTTCTGTAATAGAAATAAAACCTACAATAGAAGCGCCAAAATCTTTCTAAAAAATGTGACCCTTTCTCAAGAGAGTCAAGCCAAATTCTTAGGTATAATCATTGATGAACGATTGACCTGGAAACCACATATAACTATGTTAGGTAAAAAAATTTCAAAAACTATCGGTATTATTGGAAAAATTAAACATCTTCTTACTCAAAAAACCATTATTACCATATACAATAGCTTAATATACCCATATCTAACCTACGGGAATATAGTCTGGGGATGCGCCTACAAAACCACACTACAGCCCCTAGTATTACTCCAAAAAAGATTTGTTCGTTCAGCCACCGGCGCCAGTTTCCACGCACATTCTGCACCTTTGTTTACAATACTTAATATTTTGAATATTTTTGACATAAACAAACTTCATCTGATGTTATTTACATTTAAATTCCTTACTTGTTCTCTTCCAGACACATTTAATGGTCTTCTAAATCTTAATTCCCATTTTCATACTTACCAAACTCGACAAAGTGCCCATTTCCATATCCCCCTAGTTAGAACGTCCTTAGCCCAAATGAGTGTAAAATATAAATGTATAACTACTTGGAATAATCTCCCGCTCCACCTAAAATGTTTAACATCAATAATTAGCTTTAAACGAAATCTTAAAAATCACCTACTTTTCTTTTCCACCGACATTTGATTTCTTATTACTTTGATTTCATCTGTATAAGTCTGAATCTCCGTTTCTCTTTAAAATTCATTTATTTTCTTGAGTTATTGCTTCAATTCTGCCAATGTCTGTATTGCAGTTAAAGTTCTGTTAACGTTAAAGTTATAGTTTTTAACATATCATTTCTAATTAGCGTTATTTATCAATCACTTTTGTTATTCATGTTACTATTTGTTTTGTTACTATTATCATTTTGATCATATTGATCAAATTTATTAATTACCTATTGTTATTTATTATTATCATGTGATTTGTTAGCATTATTTCAGTTGTTAATTAATTTTGTCGGGGAAGATCCCAGACAAGCCACTATGGCTTCATATCTTTCCCCAGCATTTTATTTTATTGTCAGTAACATTTTCATTTTATTGTTATTAAATTATATGCGAACCAATAAACAAACAAACAAACAAACAAACTACACATCGTACAAAACATACAGTAGCAGCCATTATCAGCTGAAATGATGTATGATTTACATTGCATTGTTAAAAAGTTCTACTCAGTGATACTTAGGTAACGTAGCATTGGGCAAACAATCACAAGGTAAGGGACAACTGTTAAAATCAGCGCAAGATAACGACATTAATTCTAACTCCAATGCTATAAATCATATTCTCTAAGAAAAACAAGTCATACATAAACATTAGTATAAATGTAAATATACATGTGTTACTTGAGGACTGTCTTGTTTGTTTGTTTGAACTTTTATTAGCATGAAAGCTCCTGTGTGTTCATTCCATGATGAGGCCACACCAATTTAATTTGTTGGTTCTCGGATTTTTTCCTAAAAAGTATGCAGCGACAAGGAATTTTGAACTCTTAATCAAACCACTGTATTGGTAGATTGAAAAACTGAAATAAGTTGGAAGAAAATGGCTTTCCTCAACTGTTGGGGGCAAAATAGAAGCATTTTTTAGTTGATTCAGATCCAGAATCTTTTTTTTTTTTTGCAAATCAGAAAAAAATTGAAGAGACGGATCTGAGAACCAACAAATTAAGATGGTATGGCCTGAAGTTAATACTTTTGTCCACAATTGACCGTGGCTCACCTCAAATTTTGTTGCAAATTTTCATGAAATACTCAATTCCTGTTAGAGGAGGGAATAGGTCAGGTTCCGACGGTTTCATAAATATCCCATTAAATCCCCCCCTATGCTGTGATTTTTACCCCATACGCTGTGATTTAGCCCCCTACACTGTCTTCCAACCAGCGTAGACTAGAGATGTTTCTTTTGCGGGAAACCTTGTGACCCTTCTTTAATCTTTAAAAACTATGAAAATTTCACTTTAAAATGAAGATATAACGGGGAAAACATACCTTTACAAAGTTTGTCTCTCAATAAGGCCATGTTGATTTGATTATATGGATGACATCCTCTGGGAACCCCAAAACTGATGCGAGCGTGCGAATAAAAAAAAAGTTTTGGCTAAAAAAAAAGTTGTTTTCATTATGAAATCATGAAGGACACGTGGTCATGAAGGACACATAGCGAATAATCTACTCTTCAAATTCATTTCTTTACATTTTTGTCTTTTTCGTCTGATTTTGGCATTCTACGACATTGGTACCATTTTTAAATATTTTTTTTTTGCAACGTACGTTTTATATTTGCTCATTTTGCGGCTGTTTTGTACGATTTACAGTATGGTTGAAAACTTTTTCTTTGGGAAACGGCCGAAAATTCATGCGCGCGTGGATGTCATCCATATAATCAAATCAACATGGCCTAAGCAAGAAATAGTGTCTCAAGGGGGTTAATGATTCATTGTTGCTCTTTCCCCAGTATGCGAAGTACCTTGAGAGCCACAGTGTGGAGGGAGCGAGGAACGTGTACCGCCGAGCCTGTACCATCCACCTGCCCAGGAAGCCCAACATTCACCTCAACTGGGCAGCATTCGAGGAGCAACAAGGTGGGCGGGCTTTTCTTTGTTATGTTTACCTTTGCAGAAGGAAAACATTTTGTTTTTGCTATGTTTCTTCTTCTTCTGTAAACACATAAGGTTTAGGACCAGACGTCTGTCACCATGGTAACTGGTGCTGTAGCAGACACCCCGTGGTGTTGGATTACATTATGTAGCAATAGTAGACAGAGTTGGACTGTGTCACCAGGTATATGAATGTGTTTGAGTAATCGACAGAGTTAGTTTGTTGGGCTTGACAGTGTGAAGGTAAACATTAAGTATTTGCGTTGCAAATGTTACCTTTCTAGTTTTTGTTTTGTTTTGCATAACTGGTAGATGTTGGTGTACACCTTAGTGTAGACATGTGTCTCAAACATTGACTGTTAATCAAGACCTGAGCAAGAACTAGGATAAAAGTCTTAGTATATAGTAGAGGGGATTCATTCCTCAAGCTACCGACATCTCGCACACACAGTCGTCCCTCAGTAAGACATCTGGAGCCGCATAGTTCCCGTTTAGAATGTTTATTCAGCCTGTCACACGACCGGTTTCGCCTGTGTGGCTTCTTCAAGTGTACAGAGGCTAATCTTGACTGTTACTCAAGACCTGAGCAAGAACTAGGATAAAAGTCTTAAGCATTAACGTTCTGCAAGGTAACACAACTCGAAACACTATTCTGTATCCTCCATGAAGCTTAGTGTAGACTTATTTCTTGCTGCCGCACTAATTAAGCCGGCCGGTCTCTGTGTCCGTTGGAGCGCTGGTGGTTGTACGGTGCGGACAGCGAAAACAGGATGAGGTCATGGGAGTTTTCCACTGATGAGTGTGGACTGCTTATATAATCCTCACCTACAGACTTATACTAGAAAGGTAACATTTGCAAAGCAAATGCATAATGTTTACCTTCGCACATGGTCTACTCTGTTAATTCCTACTCAAATACATGCATATATATGGTCAGACAGGAGTCTACATGTAAATCCCTCCAACAATATAAGATTGCAACATTTTGTAACCCAACACCAGTTACCATGGTGACAGACATCAACAAATCATGTCATTGGCCAGGTCAGAGGTTAGTGTTTTTGGAATGGAAGAGGAAACTGAGTAAAAACAATATGTTTTCCTTCGGTTAACATAATAATATATGTGTCAAAACAGCTTCTGTGTCTCAGTGACCAGTAAGTGTTCAGACTTGATTCCTGGGACCAATTTTAAACAATGTCAACTTTCTACCATTACATTGTACGATTCTAAGTACTACATCTGGAACAGTCTTCCAGACAACGTGGTCGGCCTGATCACTGACAACAACCTCCAGTCATTGAAAACAAGAGTACACCACCATCTTTCCACCATCTTTCTTAGCTCCATCAGGCTGTAAACCAATGATTAGCCAGGAGTGTTAGTGTAATGTTACAACCCAGGTTATTGTTTACTGTTGTGAACCCACTGTATACCATTTGTCCATTACCACACAAGAATCCCTCCTATCTGACGGTAGAATAGTCCAACCGAGGAACCTCACTCTGGAGTTAGAGTCCTGGAGGAAACACAATAAACCATGAAGCTCCACAAAAGTCCTGTGTGTTGACCTGTTCACTACAATCTAGCAGAAGAACCTGCAACATTTACGTCGGCACATTATAGAAATGTGGGTTTGTTGTGTCCTCAGGTAAGGCCATGTTGATTTGATTATATGGATGACATCCCCCGGGAGCCCCAAAACTGATGCGCGTGTGGGAATAAAAAAAAAGTTTTAGCAAAAAAAAAAAGTTGTTTTCATTATGAAATCTACGTGGTCATGAGGGTTGAACAAATGGGACAGAATATGGTTTGGCGGATAATCTAATCTTCAAGTTCATTTCCTGACAATTTCGTCTTTTTTCGTTTGATTTTGGTATTCTACGACATTGGTATAGTTTTTACTTATTTTTTTGTAACTTACGGTATATTTTTGCTCATTTTGCAACTGTTTTGTACGATTTACAGTATGGTTGAAAACTTTTTTTTTTGGAAACGGCCGAAAATTCATGCGCGCGCGGATGTCATCCATATAATCAAATCAACATGGCCTAATGGGTAATTTTCGGAAGTGTGTTGGGATCTTAACCTGCTGGAATTGTGGCTTCTATTAGTTACGATTTGAAGTTTTGAATGGAAGTTCATTGTAGTTGTGGGTAGTTGTTGCTACTGTAACGGACCTTAACTTAAATCTAAGAAATTAAGTCAAGATCGTGGTAGAACAATCGTATCTAACGGACGGGTACCGCTGTTCGTCGTTGGAATAGCCGATCCCCTTTCCAATGGTTTTGAAAGAAAGTCAGTTGAGATAAAGCCATTGACGAGTGCAGACGTGCGTCCTTTTCGTCTAGTAACACTACTATTACTAATTGAAGTTAAACACGTTCTTTTGTTGTGTCTTCAGGAAACCTGGACGGGGCGCGTGACATCCTGAAGACCCTGGAGGAGGCGGTGCCTGGCCTGGCCATGGTGACCTTACGCAGGGTCAGCCTGGAGAGACGCACCGGAAACCTGGTCAACGCCGAGAGAATATTCCGGGAGGCGGCCGAGAACGCCAAGGACACCGGCACAGCCTCCTTCTTCTCACTCAAACTCGCCAGGTTCATGGCCAAGGTGGGCGGGTTTGTTTGTTTGTTTGTTTATTTTAGAGCTCCATTGATGATACATCACATTCTTTTCGAAGTCCATAACAATGGAAACATGTAAGTTGGAGAGTAAGCTGAAGATAGAGCAATCGTTTTGTAAAGGATAGTTAGTTACTGAACTTTGTGTTCACTTGTCTGCTCAGAGCCTCTCCACATGGCAAAGTTTGAAAGAAATCAAGTTGGTAGTAAAAAAAAAAGAAGAAAACTGATATTTGATAGTTTCAGACCATCTGGTCTCTTATGCAAGTTAGGTAGAGAACTTTTATATTTCACAAAGTTTACATAGGAGAGGACCACACTGCTGTGTTAGAAAACAGATACACTGCATGGACTGTAAAGTCTTGCTACATGTAAGTTATTAGGTTGGCTGAAGACATGTTTTGTTCTTTTGTTCTTTTGACTTCTCCAGACCAAGGCTGACACTGAAGGTGCCAAAACTGTTCTGAAGGAGGCCATAGAAAAGGACAAGGTAAGTTCACTGTGCAAACTATACCAAACGAAACTAGCATTAGTAGTTATGTCTAAGAATTGGTAAAAAAAAAAAAGCTTAAAGCTTATGTACATGCATTCCAAGTCCTCAGTGACAGAACTAGAAAGGAAGGGAACTGATAGGATGTGGCATAAAGTGAGTTATCTCAGTCATGAAGACAGTAAAATAAGTAAGATAGACAGGAGTGATGTCTGAATGTTTGTACTGCCGCACTAATTAAGCCGGCCGGTCTCTGTGTCCGTTGGAGCGCTGGTGGTTGTACGGTGCGGACAGCGAAAACAGGATGAGGTCATGGGAGTTTTCCACTGATGAGTGTGGACTGCTTATATAATCCTCACCTACAGATATATGTATCTCTGAGCACGTCGGCAGAACGTACTGCGCCTGCGCAGAGCCCCGTATTTTCGCGTTTTTCGTTGGATTTTTGGTCAACGTTGCATCAGAATTTTGCCTGTTGCAGAGGATATTCTTTCCGACACAACATTTGAAACGACTGTCGAAATGCTAACCTTATATGAGCGAATACAACCTTATATGAGACATTCTGCCGAAATGCTATGTACAATACATTACGGGTTTCGCGCAGGTGCAGTACGTTCTGCCGACGTGCTGTATCTCTGTAGGTCAGTATTGACCATGGTAAACATCAGATCACACGGTAAACACTCGAATTACAGGACATTCGTGGTATTGAATGGCAGACCGGTTAAGCAAGGAAAGGTTTCAACTGGTTTCACTCCCAGCAAGACGTCGTGTCCTTGGGAAGGGCACCTTACACAACTGTCCTCACTCCACCCAGGTGTAAAAGGGACACCTTACTTTGGTTGAGAGAGAGGGATGAGCTGCACTTTACAATACCATGTCTGGACACAGTAGATTAACAAACCACTTCTGCCAGAAAAAAAGGCCATGGATACCCTTACCTTTTTAAACTAGCCGACTGCGGGCCACCCATTTCGGGACCCCTGCAGCAGTGGAATCTAAAATTTATTTATTTATTTTCCATTATGTTTATACTAGATTGCCCACTCAGTGATAACACCGCTTTTCAGTGGGGCCCTGTATTGGATACTACTATGTGTCTTAGCTAGGACAGATAATTTTTTTTAAATAGTTAGGGTCAGACAAGTTTGACCATTATGATTCTTGCCTGCTCCAGGAGAATGCTAAGCTGTACCTTATTCATGTTGTCTAATTTATTGTTAGACATGTGAGAATACACATGTAGTAGTAGTAGTAGTAGTAGTAGTAGTAGTAGTAATATCCAGTCCTTGATTTCTAGTATACTGCTTTGGGGGTCCCTAACACAGGTGGGCAGCAGTCGGATAGTCTTCATATCACACCTCAATGCGACTGTCCATCCAGAGGGCCCACACTAGCAAGGCTGCTTTCGCTAATGCCCTTCCTGACACACTCCATCAGGTCTACCCCGACCTAAAACAGACTTCTCACTTGCTCCAGGAGAATGCTAAGCTGTACCTGCAGCTGTGTAATCTAATATTGGATACTATAGTAACTATGTGTCTTAGCTAGGACAGATAATTTTTTTAAATAGTTAGGGTCAGACAAGTTTGACCATTATGATTCTGGCCTGTTCCAGGAGAATGCTAAGCTGTACCTGCAGCTGTTGGACCTGGAGTTCCAGCAGGGAGTGAGGCCAGACGAGGACAGGGTCCTGCAGTGCTTTGACCTGGCCATGACCTCCCAGCTCAGCCAAGACGCCAAACTCACCTTCTCTCAGAGGAGGGTCGAGTTTCTGGAGGACTTCGGGTCCAACGTGGAGAGGCGAGTCTTTGCCACCTTGTCGTGTGTGCCTTCCACACTTTCACCTTTGTCTTAAATCAGGGATCGAAATAGATTTTGGGGCCAACTTGCACTGGTGCAGATGAAAAAAAAAAAAAAAAACTTGTACCAGATTGAAGAAAAATAGTTGCACCCCCCAAAAACAATAGGTACACAACCAAAAGTACATGTTTCAGTTTTTTCGGACTGGACCGATAAAATTTTTACAGTCCGAACCGGTGCACCTTGACCGGTACCCACCCCTATTTTGTTCCCTTTCCAGTTCTTTATTGGGTATTTCTACAGGTTGTAACAGCGGATAAAGCAAACTTGCAACGCCGTGCATACCGGCAAAAATTAGTTGCACGACACCAAATTTACTTGCACCAAGTTGCACACAGAGGGGTATTTCGACCCCTGCTTAAAGCTTAGGTGTCCAAGCTGTGTCTCTGTCTCAGTACCACATCGGCAAATGTACTGCGAAACCATGATTTTTCATGGTTTTCGTGGGATGTTTGATCAACGTTGCATCAGAATTTGCAGGCTCTCTCAATTTAGTACCATTGCTTAACTTAACTTTGTAATAAAAAAAAATACCTTTTTATCCCCATCAAACCAAAAAAATGCTTTAAAAAGTGCAATGAACGGTTGATTTGTTTAATGATGTGTCAGGAATTTCAGTAAGCAAACCCTTTTGTTCTTGCAGGTTGATGACTGTGTACGAAGAGCACCAGAAGCTTGTGAAGACCCACAGTGGAGGGAAGAAAAGAGCACCTGAGGGAACAGGGTAAGGAACCATGGCTTCTACAGAACTGCTATAGAAGATTACTTAAGATATAGATGTCGGAGTAGAGGCTACAGTCTGGGAGAATCAGTGATTCGATCGTAGTCTTTGTCGAGACAGATCAGGACGCTGATCACTGAAGAAAAATGTATCATTTATTTTAGTACCAGTGCAATGAGAAAATGTTTGACAAAGTTCAGTACATTAGGAGTAGCAATAACAAGTTACAGGATTTAGTTTACAAGCAGCAGAAGACACAGCTAGGAATTGTGCTACTTGGAGATTACAGAGAGGACCAAGGGCCAGCATCTGGTCTGAGCATTTAGGCAGTAGACAGGTAGTCATAACTTAGCCACCAGATACAATTATCTTTTCAGTTCTATTCAGAAACGTAGAGATGAAAATGTGCATTTGAGTCCGTAATTGATTTCAGTAGGTTGGTAAATGATTATTTAAGTTCTTTTAGTCACCACCATTTGTTTTACATGGGCCAATGTTTCGGTTGACCTTCTGTCACCTTCATCAGGGCTATAATGACTGGTTTACATTACTGGTTTTTGTATATGTGAGTGTTTTTAAGAGACCTTTTCTGTTCTCCAATGTCCTGGGATGACTTTAAGTCTTAGTACCTGCGGAGAAGAAGCACAAGTTTGAGGAGAACGGCACCATGTCCATGCCCCCTTCCATGACCATGTTTTAGTTTTAGTTATATTCAGAAACTTAGAGATGTATTGTGAGTGTTTTTAAGAGACCTTTTCTTTCCCCCAATGTCCAGGGATGACTTAGTGCCTGCGGAGAAGAAGCACAAGTTTGAGGAGAACGGCACCATGTCCATGCCCCCTCCCATGACCATGCCGCCCCCCGCGCCGGCACCCAACTCCATGCCGCCCCCGGACCCCAACACGGCCCCCCCTCCGTCCTACAACTACAACTGGAACACCGGATACAACCAGCCTTCAGTAAGTCAACCGTCACTGACTGTTCGTGCCTCCGAACACTGGGGTCTGAGGAGTGGCTGCTTCAAAATTCTCATCTTTTATCTTTGCCGTCCAGCCGTTTTATAATCTCCAAGTAGATCATACGGTGGCAAGGCATTATCCATTGGCCAGAGGAGTGTCCATTAGTGCTTAATGGCCTGCCTTGCTACTGTATGATCTGCTTGGAGATTAGCCATTTTATACAACTAGTTGCAGAAACCTTTCAAAAATTGGTTAAAAATTTACTACAATCAAGTGTCTTTGTTAAAGATGTTTTTTTTTATAAAACAGAAGAGGATGGCTGTTCTTCACGCCCCTTTGTGTGGGAGGAAATTTCTGTGAAAAGTTCTCATTCCTGTTTCCCTTGGATGTCCTTCTTGCCACAGTTTTCTCACGCACACACACACACACACTGTTCACTCCCTCTTTCTGTGTTTCAGTTCAGCTTCGGAAATTACTAGCGCCGTAGGTACAGGTGACACTTGGTTATACTGTGGTTCCCCTCCTGTTAACGTGAGCTTCTTGGACCTGCAGTTTCACAACATTTTGATCAAAATTCTCCTTACGGCTCTTTCGTCGTCCCTTCCAGTGTGTCGGTATGGTCAGGAGGTAACTCTGTGTTGTCTCTGTTTTGTTCCAGGCCAACCAGTACAACTACCAGCAGTGGGGGTACGGGCAGCAGTACTATCCACCGGCTTCTCAGTAAGGGACAGGCAGGGCCTCAAAATACCACCTGCACATGCAGGGTAGTGCAGGTAAAACGGGGGCTGTGCAGGTGTTTCTGATGTCTACCTGCACCTAACCTGCACTGGTCCATGTACTTGGTATATGCAGGTTTTAGTGCAGGTAAAAATTGGGGCTGTGCAGGTGTTTCTGATGTCTACCTGTACCTAACCTGCACTGGGTTTAAATACAAAATGTAGGTGTATGTGGATTTTTTTAATTTTCTGCATTGACAGTTACCACTTTTGAAGTATAAAAGAAACACTGCCAGTATTTCGAGCCCTGGCTGACATGTACATACGACTCGATGGGGACTCTGTTGTACAGGCGACTCCATAGGAGCCATTGCTTTAATCTAATACATGTACCTTCAGGTAAAAGGTGAGACTTAATACAAAGTAAGTACAAGTTGATAAAGCAAGTTTTACTGTAATTCCCAACACAAAAATCGGACTTACGATCCACTGCTCACCAAGTCACTCGTGTCATCTATATAACGTGACCTCACAGAAGAGGTGGACAAAGACTGGAGTTGTACTGTCAAAAATTTTGGTACATCCAATTTCTTGTGTTGGAAATTAGTTTAAACTTGCTTCATAAAGACTTCTAACACAGATGCACTTCCAAGATGAATACAAGTTTGTCAATGTATGTATTATGATTGTGGCCTTTTAATCCCAGATGGTGTAGTCGCAACTAGAGCGAAGCTATGTAACAAATCGGTGGTTGTTAAGGTAAGAGCCCTGTAGTCAGTGTTACTGAACCGTTACCAAATCCTGCAGCAGGGTGTGCAGCAAACTGTTAGCTTTTAAAGCACAGATGAACTTGGACTGGTGAGACGTAGGTACCCATGGTAGATTGTCTTTCCCTGGCACGTCAGCAGAACGTACTGTGCCTGTGTCAAATCCGTAATGTAATGTGCGTAGCACTTAAGCAGAACGTCTCGTATTCATACATTTAAGGATAGCATCCCGTATGTTGTTTGTTGGGTCGGAAAAAGCACCATCTGCAATGGCAACATTCTGAACAGCCAACACTAAACAGCCAACAAATACCTGGAAATTCTGGGTATTGCGCAGATGCAGTACGTTCTGCCGACATGCTTCTTTTCCTATACCATTCGTGATGCCATTTTTGCTGTTTTGATATTCCATTGCTCCATTGTTTACAAACTGGCATTTGTGGGTGGTTGTGTAGGTAAAACAAACTGTATGCTGTGTGCTAGAAATTGTTGCAATTACTGATGTTGAAGTATTATGGTAAAACAATACAAGCTTATTAATGGTGAAGGAAGCACAGTTGTACATTGCTGACAATTCTTTAGATTATAATTGTAGCGGGAAGTTATTTGTACAGACAATGATTTAGATACGTTGTTCTCTTTGAAGGTCTTCTTGTAATAAACTTTCTTAATCTGACGGAAAAAGCCATGGCTTGTCATTATTGTCACACGTACACTACACAATGTAATTATGTAGTTGTCTACTTCAGGCAGATATGGCCAGACAACTATTGTTAACAATCCACTTCTTAGGCCACACTAATTTAATTTGTTGTTTCTCGGATTTGCTCTGTCCATTTTTGTCTGATTTGCAAAAAAAAATTTATTTGGTTCTAAATCAACTGCAAAATGTTCAACGAAAGACATATTTTGGCCCCAACGGTTGAACAAAGTCCTTTTCTTCCTAGTCGTTAAAGTTTTTCAATGTAGCAATGCAATTTTGTATCATTAAAAGTTCAAAATCTATTGTTTTAATTATAAACCAGCCTGGAATGTTCACTTAATGGCTACTAATAACTATTATAACATTTCTGGCCATCATGGGGTGCCTTGGCCTTTTTATTTTTGCCCTGTCACTTCATATTTTTTCTGAAAAAATCTGAGAAACAACAAATTAAATTGGTGTGGCCTTACAAATATGAACAGTTCTATTTTGGTGGTGGAAGTTTAAGTCCTTCACTCTAATTATAATTTTTATGCCAACCTTCCCTAATATTGAACACAAACAAGCAGCCTGTATTACTTTTTCCCTGAAGCTATAAACGGGCAGCCTTGCCTTGCACAACTGCATGGAAAGACAAACTCTTCATGTCACACACACTAAGTTTTCCCAGTGTGAAAAAAAAAAGTTTTCCCTGTGTAAAAAAAATGCTCAGCTCAACTTGTGAATAATGTTTCAAATACATGTTAGGCCATGTTGATTTCATTATATGGATGACATCCTCTGGGAACCCCAAAACTGATGCGTGCGAATAAAAAAGTTAAGCAAATAAAAAAGTTGCTTTCATTATAAAATCTACCGTCATGGAGGTCGAACAAATGACACAGAGTATGGTATGGCGAATAACCTGTTCAAATTCATTTCTTTACATTTTCGTTTTTTTTTTGTTTGTTTCATGTTGGCATTCTATGACATTGGAATCGTTTTCAAATAGTTTTTTGTAACTTACGATATATATATTTGCTCCTTTTGCAACTGTTTCGTACAGTGTGGTTGAAAACTTTTTTTTTTGGGGAAACGGCCAAAAATTCATGCGCGCGCGGATGTCATCCATATAATCAAATCAACATGGCCTTACATATGATTATCTATAGAACTGGAGAACCATGTCAAAAGCTACTTGACTACTGTGTCATTCACAATTTTATAACATGCACAGGGTCTACCCGTATCTATGGCCGTATTTCAAAGCACCAACAGTTGATCCCCTGGCCGTATTTCACTTTGTGAAGACACAATAATATTCATTTTGTGTTTATATTAGCCTCCTTCGCAGACTTGTAGGGTGCTGGCAGCGAAACCATCTGTCCCAGGTAAAACTCCCTCAGCGGAAAAACCATCCCTCCCTGGCATAACTCGTATCGCTCACCGTAAAAAGTATCGCCGCGCCCTACAAATCTTTGAAGGAGGCTATGTTTATATGTATTTCAGGGTAGAGACTGCTCCCATGGCTCATAGCTATGGAGTTAGTGAGAGACTGACCTGGTGGAATCAGTGATTCTACTGGCAGAGATCACGAATGGAGTTTATGTTGACAAAGACTCGAATCGGAATCTCTCCCGGTAGAATTGCTGATTCTAACAGACTGGCTGATTCTGCTGGTCCAGATCAGAGTGTCAGCGTTTTAGCCTTCATCCGCTCCCCATGATCTGCTACCAGACTGGTTACAGCGGATTGTGGGGAGCGGACGAAAGCTGAAACGCTGACACTCAGGCTACAGAGTCACCACCCTAACATATACATATACACGTACCATATCCTAATCTCCAAGCAGATCCTAGGGTGGCAAAAGACAGCATCAAATTGGCCAGGCAGTATTCATTCGCCAGAGAGGGCCCATACGCCTTGGGTGGCATATTGGAACCCTTTCTGGCAAATGGATACTGCCTGACCAATTTGATGCTGTCTTTTGTCACTCTAGGATCTGTTTGGAGATTACCATATCCTCAAGGTTGTGTGACTCAAAAGCTGTTGTCATCTTCCTCCCTCTCAATCTCGTACATCTTCTGCAGCAGTTCCTCCACTTTGTTGCCTCCTGGAGGAGAAAACGTGACGTTCTGTAACATTCTATTACCAGTCACGAGATTAATAGGAATATTTTTTTGCATATTTATATCTGTTGTACTACCTGTAAATTGTATTGTCTTCTGCCACCAATTAAGGATGACGTGTTAACATTATTTCTTGTTTTGTACTTTGCAGTTAGATTTCTTTATCTATGTTTGTATAACGTCTGTATTTGTGGATCATCTACTACCAGTTTCGACTGCCGTGATGACCCGTGTACTGATGTGTTGTCAGTCCCCAATAAGGCCACACCAATTTAATTTGTTGGTTCTCGGATTCGCCTCTTCGTCTTTTTCTGATTTGCAAAAAAAAAATTTGATTCTGGTCCTGAATCAACTGAAAAATGCTCATGTTTTGCCCCCAACAGTTGAGGAAAGTCCTTTTCTTCCTAGTTGTTACAGTTTTCCCATCTATCATTGCAGTTGTTTGATTAAAAGTTCAAAATTCAATGTTTAAATTTTAACCCAGCCTTTTGTGTTGACTTCATGGCTCATTTTGTAGCATTTAAGCCTATAATAGTATGTCTAGACCAGTCCTGTTTTTATTTTTATTTTTTTTCGCCCTGTCGCTTCATATTTTTTCTTAAAAAATCCGAAGAGAGAGGTGACGTAAATTTGGTGTCTCTAGCTGCTTGCGTTGGAACTGTAGGGGCGTTTTTTACCGGTGCAAAAATTTGCTCCAAGGGCGCTTTTTGGTACTGCAGCCGACCTTCCGAAGCAAAAAAAAAGCGCCCTTGAAGCAAATTGTGCACCGGCAAAAAACGCCTCTGCAGGTCAAACGCAAGCAGTTAGAGACACCAAATTTACGTCACTTTTTCCTTACTTTAACAGCTTTTTACCACATAAAAATCATGACTGTATCATATTTAAAACAGGAGATACAAAGCCCGGAAGGTCGGCTGCAGTACCAAAAAGCGCCGCTAGGGGGCTCCAAAAGTCAAATCAAGTGGCCGGCGTACTTTTTCAAAAGAGTAATGTCTCATGAGTATTTGTACCAAGTTTGGTGCTTGTATCACAAAGTGAAAGATTATTTCAGTTATCTGCCCCACGATAACAGTTACTGACAGTAATGCTTAGACTCCAGCGTTGCTCAAGTTTTGAAAAAAAAAAAAAGACCGTACCCCTTGGCAGCATGAACCGGATGGAGGGCCGCCTTCCCCCTCTGACGTAATCCGCCGCTGCCATCTCAGAATCGTCTTCTGTTGCCTCCTCCTCCTCAATGTCGTCCATGTAGGCGGACCTGGGAGAGGGTTGGAGATGTTACTCTCCAAGCAGAGGTTTGCGTTTTGGGTGTACAAACACTGTATTTTTTAGCGTGTTTTTAGGCTTTTTTATCGGGGTTTCTCTTTTGCACTGAATTTTTTTCCCACCAAACTGCATGGTTGGGTTTGGTGAGAAAAAAAATTCAGTGCAAAATAGAAATCCCGATAAAAAAGCCTAAAAACACACTAAAAATACCCCCAAAACCCAAACCTCTGCTTGGAGAGGGTTGGAGATGTGTCTTAGTGACAATGTACCATCTTTGTCAAGCTTTATAGGGAACCAGAGGCTAGTGGCTTCAGAAGTGGCCTAATGGCTTCAGAAGTGGCTGGAAAGAGTAGAAATTGGCCAGCTGGACAGATCGCATGCCATGGGAGTTGGTACACGAAAGGATTACAGTTTGTCATTCTTTCTGGCCGCTTCTGAAACCTTGTAGAGTCTACCTCTATTAATGACTAGTCTGCTCAGTATGTCATTTGAAGCTTCTAGTAGCATTGACGTCTCAGAACAACTCACAAGACTAGAAAGGTCGAGAGAAAATACAGTATGTTTACGTAGCCTAACAAAACTCAGCTGTTTACTTCTTACTCAAACACACGCACACACGCACGCACGCGCACACACACACACACACACTCACACACACACACACACACACACACACACACACACACACACACACACACACACACACACACACACACACACACACACACACACACACACACACACACACACACACACACACACACACACACACACACACACACACACACACACACACACACACACACACACACACACACACACACACACACACACACACACACACACACACACACACACACACACACACACACACTCACACACACACACACACACACACGCGCACGCACACACACACACACACACACTCAAACACACACACACACACACAGCATACAAATATTCAGCAGCACTCACTCGTCCTCGTTGAGCCCCATGACAGTGATTCTGCGCACCACGGCGCTCACCTTCCTCTCCGCCGGTTCTTTAGACACGGTGTACTCCAGCATGAACAGCTCCAGGATAAACGCAGAGAAGATGCTACAGGGCAGGCAGAAACGGGAACTGCTTTGTTTAGACCAGTCCATTTGTAATTTCCTAACATTTTTTTTAATATTCCGAAACATGCAATCACAAGACGTGGTGACGGCACACTCAAGTTTTTTCAACTTACATTAATGCCGCCACCAACACAGGGACAGTACAATACTCATTTACACCTGAGCAAAGTGAGGAAAGTCGTGTAAAGTGCCTTTCCCAAGGGCACAAGATCGGTGGCATGTCAGGACTCGAACCCGGGGCCTCTGGTTCCGAGTCGAGAACGCTGCTGCTACGCCACACGACCCCACGAAACATGCCTAACATTAAAGGCATCCAATGCGATTTCAGGGCAGCGAATCTGGAAATATTCTGAATAAAGCAATCTTTGTGATGTTGACACATACTGATTCACATTTATTTAGCACATTTAAATCAGCATTTCATACTCTGGGAATTTCAAACTGCAGAAAAGAGGCCCCAGGATTAGTACCCTTAAAATCAGCCCAGGGCCTTTCCAGTAACCATTTTCCGTCAGAATGTTGGGAATTTTTGCTACTTGAGGGTCAATATACATTGGGATTGTGGTTTCAACTCAGTATGTAGATAAGTGACTTGAGAATTGGCTTTGTAAAATCGGGTTTCCAAGCCCTAAAAACTACACTGGGTGCCTGCAAGGTCTGTACGAGAAAGACAATATTAGTGGGTGCTTGAAAATCAACAAGTTATGGTGCTTGATTGGGAGCTTTGTCAGACACAGACTATACCAAAGAAGACTAACTAATAGTATACAGACATGCACAACCCTCTGTATAAGTGACCACATCTACATAAGAACGAACCATGACTGGCTAGTGTGACACCACTTTTTGATCCCTTAGATAATTATCTTCTATTAACACAAGCATTGTAATGCCGCATAGACCATATATAGATTTTATCCGTCCCCTGCGTGGCCTTCTTTGACAGGTTTGATAGTATACGGAAGTTAGTTAGCGTGCAGCACTCACTTGAGTACGAGGATGACGACCAGTAGGTGGTAGATGATGAAGTATATCCGCGCGGCCTGGTGAGTCACAGCCACGAATCCTTCTGCCAGCAGTGGCGTCTGGTCAAGGAAGGCTTATATACTCAAGCTAGCCTCTACCAGGCGTCCAAAGCGGCTGGAAAGAGTAGAAATTGGCCAAACAGAGAGATAACATGCCGCGGGTAGGGGGTGCGGGGTTGGTCCGCTAGAGAGTACATACAGTTTGTCGCTCCCGGGTACCATCTGCAACAACTCCTCCGGCATGTTATCTGTCTATATGGCCAATTTCTACTCTTTCCGGCCGCTTCTGAAGCCTGGTAGAGGCTACATTCTGGCTGCTGAATACTATTCATAGTCCAATTAAGCAGAGGTCTAGGTTTCGGCTTATTTTGGCGTGTTTTAGGCGTTTTCGCTTTCTCTTTTGTACTAGTAACTTGTTTGTTTTTACTTCGAGAGTGGGTGGTGAGAGATACCAAGAGATAAAGGGCTGTGATAGGCTTTATCCAAGCAACCTTTCATATTGTATGTTCATTGCAATAAAGATGATTTTAAACCCCCTTGGATACTGTCTTGCCAATGGCATTGCCTTTCCAATTTGATACTGTCTTGTAGCCACCTAAAGATCTGCTCGGAGATTAATTCATAGAAAAGGTTTTGCGGTTAGTATTACCTAATGGCACACACAGGGATAAAACGAAGTCCTGAACATTTTGGTCAGTAGTAGCAACTCTCCAACCTCCTTGGTAGTAGTTATCACTCCTCAACTTCTCTACCAGTAAAATGGCTTTAATTTTTTAAATAGCTGAGCAAGGCTGTTAGCGAAGCATATATACAGCAAGGAGACAAGCCAAAGAAAGCGCCTCCACGTTCGGCCCACTGAGGATTGCATCACAGGATATCATAGAAGTCACTCCTTATCAATAAAATTTTTTTATAGCCTGGTTAGCATTAGTGATATAATATGAATCTTTATTGCATGTTCTTGCCCAGATGGGCTAAATGCACAAGAGGACATGCAGTATGCAAAACATGAGTATTGCATACTGGGACGCTATATTCTAATGCAAAGTGCTAAGAATCTATACAATACAACAATACTATATACTACCTATCATCTATTTAATGTCTTGTGGTGGCGGGACTTTGGCACACTGTTATGTCAATTCTGTGTATTTTCATTCTAATTGTATTTTGTTGAGTAAAATAAGTTATAAACTTGAGTGCAGCGCCACACTGTCCTTATTACTGTTTTGCTGAGTATTGATAGATAAAAAGGATATCATGCCACTGGTTGACCACCATCAGCTCGAACAGAACCACGAAGGAGTGGAGGATGTCGTTGAAGTTGTTGTTGCAGTAGCGGTTCATGGCGAACTGCGTCCCGTTCAGCCGGGGGTTCCCGCACGTGATCGGCCGGGTCTGGCTGCGGTTGGTGAGAAACGGTTCCGGAGTGATCCTCCCAGCGAAGGCTTCCATTCCGATGATTGCGAATATGTAGAAGAAAACCTGAGAAAAAGTGATACTAACTAGAAAGGTAACGTTTGCAAAGGAAATGCATTATAATTGTTTACCTCCACATGGTCTAGCCTAACAAACTACTGCTCTGTTTATTCTTACTCAAACAGATTCATATATATGGTGACCAGCCCTCCAACTTTGTCCTGCCACTTGTTTCATAATGTAATTCAGCACCACATGGTGTCGGCTGCAGCACCAGTTACCATAATAATGACAACAGTCTGGTCCAGGTCATTGACCTTATTTGTTTGGAACAGAAGAAGAACTAGAAGGAACTACGCGTTTTCTTTCTGTGAAGGTAAATACGTAAATATTATTATGATTCCTAACAATACATATGTAACAAGACTTTTAATAATTTCTATTTGGGACTGTGATAGCTCAGTATCGTCAGTTAACAAATCTTATATAATATATAGAAACACTTTACATTTGGAACCGCATATTTCCCTACGGTGTAACAATGCCTAGTATGTATGTCACAATTACACTACGTTCCGGAATGTGTTGTAAACAGAAAAACACGATGAACTATGTAACACCTTTAGTGCACTATGCACCAAGTAACATCTAGTGTCTGTGCACAGTAAACCAGTCAGAATTACCCTGATGAAGATGACAGAAGGTCATCGAAACGTCGGCTTGAAAAACAAATGGTTGTCATAAAAAGAACTTTGCTATTCAGAAGGTAAATACGATTTGAGCTTTGATAATCTGATCGTGCATGCATGTGCATGTGGTAAAATAGTATTTGCAGCAAAGAAGATCACGGATGCCACTTACGAAAAGGACGGCGCCGTACGTCAGCAAGGAGCGGCCGATGCTACTGATGGTCTTCAGCACGATCCGGAATCTGTGGGGAGTGATAAGGTTTGGAGAGACTTTGGTTCAGGAGACATACCAAGAATATGAGAGAGAAGAATTGACTGACCCAATGAATAGCCATGAGAGTTATCAACCAAGGATTGAGGTGTTCAAGAATTCATTCTTTCCTAGAACTATCGCAGAGTGGAACTCACTGTCAGCAAGTACAGTAGGGGCATTGTCAATAGATAGCTTTAAACTATGTCTAGAGCTAGAAGTTCAAGGGTTAGGTGTAACAAGTCGATCGGTGTAATATAGCCAGCTGCCGCCGCGCCGCGTGCCTGCGAAGCTGGTGTGTTACGCCGAAAGGCGGTTATACCGGCTATACAGATACAGACCCATTGCATTGATGAAGGTTAGACATCCAGATAAACAACACTCATGGGAAATCCAAACTCTATTACTGGAGATAATATCCGGACGTCCACCACTCTTCTTCAGCGTCACTAATGAACTAACAGAACTCGTTAACACATGACTGACCCGTTGTACAGCTTGTTCCTGAACGCACAAAGACACGATGGAAAAAGCTTTATTCACTCACCTCTCGATAGCGTAGACTAGCCTGACTAACCGAAGCAGACGGAGAACCAGGAGGAAGTCGAGAGCACCACTCTGGTTCGAAACTACCGGAACAAAATGTGGCAGTTCAAAGTATTTCGTTTTATGTATCATCATTGCACGAAAGGTTGCACATGGATCATTATCAAACCAGAAAAGTAAACATGCAAAATAAATACAGCATGTTTATGTACACATAGTTTATCCTCACAAACTACTGCTCTGTTTATTCTTACCGCTCGATTTGCTACATAATGTAATCCTACACCACTGGGTGCCTACTACAGCACCAGTTACCATGGTGACAGACATCTGGTACCAGTCCAGGTCATTGACCTTTTTTTAAGAAGACACAAAGTAAAACAATATGGTTTCCTTCTGCGGAGGTAAACATAACACGAATTCTTATGACAACTACGTATATGTATACTTTTCACACTTAAGTTTGAGCCAGGTGAACAGACTTACTGCTTTTCCAGGCCAGCTCCAGTACGTTGATGACCAGCGCAGCGACAATCAAGATGAAGTCAAATCTAGACAGAAAAGTACGAGGACAACGTCACGGCATTGTCTACATCGGTTGCTGATATCGCATCTCGTTTATAGATTAGGCTCTAGTCGTAACTTCGTTGACGTTTAACATCCCAAAGTTAAAAAATATCGACCAGAATAACAGCTTAACCATTAATATAAAAGACAACGGAAGACCATCGTTCGTTCTCTTCATTTTGGCACGAATAGATACGTTTTCTTACATGTTCATAGCACTGCGGAAAAACTTCTTCAGCCCGAAGACGTAGAATTTGAGGAGAATCTCCAGGATGAACAGCACCATGAAGAACCACTCGGCGTCGTCCTGGTCCAGCGCGATGCAGACGGCGTTGGCGACCACGGCCAGGTCGATGAAGTACCGGAAAAACCTACATGGACAAACCAGAAAGAAAGGTAACATTCGCAAAGCAAATACATTGTTGTTGTTTTTTGTTGTTGTTTTTTTTATTCCAACATCTAATCACAAGACGTGGTGACGGCACACTCAAGTTTTTTTTTCAACTTATATTAATGCCGCCACCAACACAGGGACAATACAATACTCATTTTCACCTGAGTCTAGTGGGGAAAGTCGTGTAAAGTGCCTTTCCCAAGGGCACAAGATCGGTGGCATGTCAGGACTCGAACCCGGGACCTCTTGATTCCGAGTCGCGCACGCTGCCGTTGCGCCACACGACCCCACAATACATTGTGTTTATCTTCACACTTCTACTAACATTTACTGCTCTGTTTATTCTTACTCAAACACATTCAATTTATATATATGGAGACCAGCCCATCCAACTTTGTCCTGCCACTTGTCACATAATGTAAACACCAGCGTTGGCGCCGGCGACCACGGCGAGGTCGATGAAGTTCCGGAAAAATCTAGACAGACAGACAGACAGACAGACAGACAGACAGACAGACAGACAGACATAACAAGGAAGGTGACATTGATTTGATTTGATTTGATTTATTCAATTTGAAACAGTACAATACACGTGGGACATACACAGGCAGCTGTTGCTGGTGCTATTCTCACACATCGAAACATATACACTACTCATGCATCTTCACTTGAGTTTTAAAAGTGAGGAAAGTCGTGTAAAGTGCCTTTCCCAAGGGCACAAGATCGGTGGCACGTCAGGAGTCGAACCCAGGACCTCTTGGTTCCGAGTCGAGCACTCTATCGACCGTTGCGTCACACGACAAAGCAAATACAGTTTTGAGAGTTTGTAGAGTTTTTAACGCATTCTTTTAATTACCAGCCGCGAAAGAAGGTTTCCATCCGCCCGGAGCCTCCTCAGAAGGCTTCAATGTCTTCTCTGTGTCGGCTCCCAAAGCCTGGTAGAGGCTACTGGCCGCAATGGGGTTTCTTACGAGATGTTGGTGTCTAATAACGTACCTGTTGGCGACAGCTTTCCTGACGAGCCGACTGATCCTGGACCTGAAGCAGCGAGGGAACCACCGCTGGAACTCCGGCTCCCTGCCTTTGTCGTCCAGCACCCGCATGTCCAGCAAGTTCACGACGTGGAAAAATTCTTTTTTGCCTGGAAGGAAGGAAGGAAGGACGAAAAAGAGAAACATCTTATCTTGCGGATATCTTCATGAATACTTCATAATCTTATTAATTAGGAAATTAGCTTAAGCTTTTTGTCCTACACCACCTAACATTACATATTATTTACCCTTTGTATTTCTTTTACAGTATATTGTTTTCTTGAAAAAAAAAACAATAAAAATTGGGAAAAAGTATTTCCATGCTTAACTCACTGATGTATCCAGTCTGGTTGGACCCGGCTAGGACGTCCCACAGAAGAGAGTGTTCCAGGTCCAGCCGCTTGGGATGAACCGTCCGCATCAGCGACATCCACCGGCTCCTGGGCAGCAGCTCCTCCTCTCCAGCTTCCGTTTCAACCTTTATTTTTTTAAATTCAGAAGCACAGTGAATACAAATAAAAGGACATGGACTAAGTGACTGCGAACTGAAGTTAGATACAACTTATATTCTCCCAGCCACTTTTACAATGGAAAAAAAACGGCGTTTACAAGACATTTGGAAAACTATGGATAGCATTGTGTCAAACCTCCCATCCCAGAAGAGAAGGAAAGCATAGCAGGACACCTACAATTAGTCTCTAGTGATGTGATGTAGTTTTGCGCGGCTAACATAATTTCACAGTTAATGTCATTCGAACCAACCAAACTGCCGCGAAGCACTAAAACTTGTTTAGCATTGTATGCTTCACACTCTTCACACTTACATTTCATCAACAAACCGTTTCTAATTATATAACTCTTTAGTCCTTCCATCTATTCCTACAACATTGTAAATAAGTGAATATTATATATTTTAATGACCTCTGGCCTCCTACCATACTGAGTTATATTGTTACTTTTTTGTATATACTGTCATTAGCCTAGGTTATGGATTGTAGGGTATGAGAAATTTCTGTGATTCGTTACTTTATTGTGTTATGATGTGTGTATGTTTATATACTATGTATTTCATAATGTGGGGCCCGATATCAGCTCAGCTGCCAGGGCTTTCACTGTATTGCATTGTTTTGTTGGCAATTTGAATAAATAAAAAATAAATAAAAGTATGCTTGAAAGCTTGCCAAACAGGACAGTTTCAACCTTCAGGATGTCGAACGCCAGCTGGAGGTTGTTCTGCTTCTCTCGAACCGAGTCTTCGACGTACTCCTGAGTCAAATGAAGGGCAGGTTTTAGACGTCAGTATCATGTCAATTTTCTATGGATTGTAATAATGAATTTTTACTTCCAAAATCATGCCCGAGTGGCGTCGTGTGGTGTAGTGGTACATCACTAGACTCATGATGAAACGGGGAGACCCGGGTTCGATTCCGGTTCGTACCCGAACAAGTCCGAACATGCGCCGCGACGTTGTACCATTGGGAAAGGTACTTTACACGAATTTCCTCACTTCACTCAGGTAAAAATGAGTACCTAGCTTCGGCTAGGGACGTCCCTCGGATAGGACGTTAAATGGAGGTCCCGTGTTTGGGAGAGCCACACCCCACGCACGTTAAAGAACCCACCACACTTATCGAAAAGAGTAGGGGACCTTCCCGGTGTAAGTGGTTCAAACCTTACAGTCTGGTCTCAGGTTTGACATATTTGAAAAGGTGATAGTCACCTGTTATGTCAATCCTTCCACAAATGCGGTAAATCGTCATGAATAAATGCCCGAAGGCTAATGGAATGGTACGTACACACGTGGTAAAAGCAACACTATGGAAGTGCCCATACCGCCACTTGAAATTATAGGCCTATGTAGGTAAGCATTATCATATTTACATTTTATCCTTCATCTTCATCTTTGCCGGGGCTCAAAGATGTTATGTGAGCCCCGGCTACACCCCCATATAGCCCCTGATGGGGCACTTTAGGGGGGAAGGCCTTGGTTTAAGGCGGGCAGGCCTCCAGCCTGGCCCGGAAGGACTCAACGGTGGGAGCCATAACTACCGGGCCAGGCAAGGCTTTCATTTGGGGATTGTGCGAGGGAAGAAGGAATATTTGTAAGTGTCTGTTCGTGCATGTATAGGTTGATATTTATGCTGGTGGCTCCCTCGGGTACGCCCTTGGGCTGGCTTGAGCAGGTTGCTGGTGTCCATGTGTCTACAGCAACATCAATGCAATGAATACTTGGGTCTGTAAAACAGAATGCTCTTCCTTGTTTTGTCTAATGACAAAAGGAAGTAGTGGCCTCATAACGATTCTGAAACGGAATTGTAACACGTCATTGATCATTTGATAAGGAAAATTAATGCTGACCGAGTGACAACCTGAAATAAAATGTCATATTGACGGATTGACCTGACATATATTTTTCAAAATTTTTCTTCCAACATTTCATGACTAAGACATGGTGATGGCAGTCAAGTTATATAAATTTATTTTATGCCGACGCCAACGCAGAGGACAAATACAGGACAGGACAGGACTATGCCCATTCTCACTAGAGTATAGTGAGGAAAGTCGTGTAAAGTGCCTTTCCCAAGGGCACAAGATCGGTGGCATGTGTTAGGACTCGAACCCCGGACCTCTTGGATCCGGGTCGAGCATTCCGCACTTACGCCACACGACCTGACATATGTTAGTTTAAAAGGGATTGAAATAAATACGACCTTTAGATGCTCCTTGAAGTTGTTGTAGATGGTTGCCAGGCAGATACTCATGAACAGGTACAGGCAGATGATGAGGTAGATGATGAAGAACAGGGTGAACCAGGGATTGTAGTCGAACGCAGGCATCCTGAGGGAAAACATGAAATGTGTACAAGAGCTTATCAAGCTACTCAGAAGGAAAACATTGTTTTTGCTCTGTTTCTTCTTCTTCTTCTCTAAACAAATAAGGTCAATGACCTGGACCAGACGTCTGTCACCAGGGTATGTATAACTAAGCAGACACCCCTTGGTGTTTGATTACATTATGTTGCCAGTTGGAGGGGCTGGTCACCATGTTTATGAATTTGTGTTTGAGTAAGAAGAAACAGTGTAGTAGTTTGTAAGGCTACACCACGTAAAGGTAAACATAATGCATTTGCTTCCCAAACTCATAGACAATCCACAAATGTTTAGTACACAAAATCAATCAATGCCTTTGACCGTTGAATTATAAGCTGTGTTGGAATATCTATCTTGCAATCTCCCTTTATGCAACTTGAGATAGCATTGCCGCACTTACATAACGTCTGGAAAGTTAGCAGTCGTGACGAGCACGTAGAGGTGGAAAAAGTTGTCCAGGTAGTTATGCATGTAGGGCTGACCATCGCTGTAGTACACAAGGTCCTGTCTGCAGAGAAAAATACACACAACAGTAATTTATTTATTAGACTTTCCAATGCAACATCAAGTAGCATGGAGGAGAGACAAAACAGGTGCATATTTGCACCTCTGCCAGTTGTCTCTCCACATACAAAATACATAATAAAACAGTAATGATACAAAAATAAACAATTCAACTGACAACATACTATAACATATTAAGATATATAACAATATAGTGACAACTATAGGGCAGTTATCGTGGCCTTGTGGCCATACAGGTCGTACATCTGCAAAAAGATATCCAGCTACATGCAGCATCGGTGTCATAGACCGCATTAAACCTGTTATGTAAATGTAACATCAACTGTCTTTTGAAGGTATTTAAGTGTTGTGGCTGAGAGACATTTAAACCCAAAGTTCTCAGACTGACATCCAAACTGTTCCATATACGTACAAGTCTTGGGAAGTACGACATAGCAAACAGTTGTGTTTTAGTTCTAAGAGGTGTTAACATGTGAGATCTTGCGCTTCTCGTGCTTCTCAAAGAAAAAGAAACATATTTCAACATATCTGAGTCGCACAAGTTTGCCATAGACTTAACAAAGAGTACGATGTCGGCCGCTTCTCTCCTGAATGCGAGTGGTAACAGTAATCCAACAAAACAAAACAAAACAAAACACGGACAACTGTGTTACGGCAAAGATCGGTTATACCGGATATACAGAACTGGCCTTTGAATGGGCAAATGTTGGAACAAGTCATTTATTCCAAACATAAAGGATTTATTTCCGAGAAATTTCTTTGAACCTTGGTTTTGATTCGATCTTTATCATACAACCTGCATACACAAATATAGGCTCCGAAAACATTTACATACAATCGCAATTACATCGTCAATTATTAACACAAAAAAGTTCCTTTATCAGAAATGATAACCTTGATGACGTCCTGATTTCAACCCTGAGGTCATTGTATTATATTTATGTTTACCGAAGGAAAACATATTGTTTTTACTCAGTTTCTTCCTCCTCTTCTGTTCCAAACACTAACCTCTGACCTGGCCAATGACATGATTTGTTGACGTCTATCACCATGGTGATTGGTGTTGGGTTACATAATGTTGCAATGTCATGGTCTGCTCTACTCCTGTCACCATAATATACTAGTTGTACATGTATGTGAATCGGGGATCCGTATTCTCGTAGAAAGGCCTGGAGGAGGCTAGTCGGTTCTCAACAAACAAACAAACAAACAAACAAACAAACAAACAAACAAACCTGTTCTGGAATATCTTGAGCGCCATGAGCGCGAAGAAGGCGACGCTGAGGAGGAACAGCGTCAGGACGGTGATGATGTCAGGCAGCGTCAGCAGGATGTTCTTAAACACCCCGCGCAGCTAAAGGCAACAAGGGGAAATAATGATCATGTACGGTGGCCCGTTGGTACACTGCTGTTTATTTTGATTCCAATATTTCTATTTCACTTTCAGAAAATGGAAGTACCCACACTCATCTGTGCAAGGAGCTTCTATCACCTTTTCACACGCGCTACGAGTCGGTCGAAAATTTAATTGGGTAAGTGACAATTTAGTTTATAGCGTTGGCTAGTGGCGTCGGGTGGTGTAGTGGTTAGAGCAATCGACTGTGAACCGGGAGACCCGGGTTCGATTCCTAGTCGTACCCGGTACATGTCTGAACATGCACCCCGACGTTGTGCCCTTGGGAAAGGCACTTTACACGAAATTCCTCACTCCACCCAGGTGTGAATGGGTACCTAACTTCGGTTGGGGAAAGTCGTATTGAGGTCACCTTGTGGCGCCGAATGGCAGCCGCACAGACCCTTGCGACAGTTCTACAAAAATAATTGTGGAACAAATATGTGTATTATGTGTATTATTTGATTGTTGTAATTGTTGTGATTTGGATTGATTATTATGTGATACCCTGCATCAATTCAGCCGTATAAAGGCTGCGACTGCACGGGTACTGTTTGGACAATAAAAAAATAAAAATAAAAAAAAATAGAACGTTCAGCCCTTTTGGTCATAACAACGATACCTGTTTCGCTCTGTCCATGCAGAGGAGCAGCAGAGGGCGAAGTGGCCTGGAGAACCTGACTGACGTCACGCCGAGCTCACTGAGGATGACGTACAGCGCCATGTCCAACAACGTCAGCTGCGGGAGAACAGCGTCACAGTATTTGTTTATTTGTTTATTTATTTGAATTTACCACCAGATATACAAGTGGAAGGGAGGACAAAACAGGTGCATTGACACCTTTACAAGTTGTCCTCCCAAAAACAACATACAGAATATAAAAGCAGATTACATCATTAAATACAAAACAAATTGCAATAATGAACATCATTAACATCAAATATTATACATCAACATCAAATATTATACATTAAACATCAAAACTGTACAATGCAATTTCAAGGTATATACACATGTAATACATTATTTACAAAAATATCAATGGTTAATTAAAATCTGTGAAGTCTTGGAAGTTCATTATGAAACAAGTCTCATTTGATAAAGTAACGAGTGATAAAGAGGCCATCTACATCAGGGCAAACGCATTACAACCATCCCTCAACAGAGACGGGGGGGGGGGGTCATAGACTTTCTGGAACCTATGAACCAATGATGACCTCAATGATGATGATGATGATGATGAATATGATAGAAAATTACCAGTAAGATGACGAGGGTGGGAAGCCGCCGTTTGCTTCTCCAGAAGTTCTTCTCGGAAGAGAAGATTCCCTGATGGGCGAGTCTGCTGAAGATCAGGCACACGCAGAACAGCTCTACGCACATCGTGATCTGGGCAGACAAGCATACATATAAATCAATCAATCAATCAATCAATCTTTATTCAAACAACTAGCAGACGACAGTCTGAATTGAGTTGTTTTTACAGTTCATAAAATTGACGTTAAACAACACTAATAGTTTAAAAATTACATAATTTACAAGTTAATGACACAAATTCGGTAGGGAGCTATAACAATGCCTATTTACACAAGTAGAGGTAAAGGTCAATGCTAGCCGCACTCAGTCACTCTATGCCCTCTTAAGTAAAAGCAGCTAAGATCTGTATTTAACTAGCGTTTAACAGCTCAACAATGTAGGGAATGGGCGATTTTTGTACCGTTCTGTGCGGCAATACGGAGTGTCAAACTTATGTGCAGAACGTGTGCTTCTACCAGAGATATTCTGCCTTACTGGGGGCAGCCATTCACGAAAGTCAGAGTTCAAGAGAGATTCTGCAAATGTTCTACAGATTGTGCGGCGACGATCGGCCAGGGAGCTGAGGTTCAATGTAGTAAGTGCTGTGTCGTAACTGGAATACTGTGACCCCAGGATGATTTTTCAGGCCCTTACTTGGATTCGTTCTAGTGTCTTTGATCTCCCACTGCCCCCAGATAAGAAATCAAACCCCTAATAGCTTGACTAGAATATTATAGAATAGTAGTTACCATGTCTCTCTTGCCTATTTATGTATTACATAATTCACTCCTTAAATTTGTCACGTATACGTGAATTTATTAGTTTTGAGTAGAACTTCATTTTAGTATATGGTTTTAGCCAATTAGTCAATACATTCTGTACTTATTGTTCTTGTCAATGTCTGTTCGCAATTAGCTTTCGGGCATGGGCTTGCCATAAAGCTATTCACTGTGAACTTTCCTACGCAACACGTGTAGAAGGTACGAAGTATGACATCTAACATTGCTATCTATCAAACATGCTATGAGACTACCAATCTACCTTACAACGGCTGTGTGGTATGGGATGAGAATGTGCTTTTACAGTAAAAGGTCGAATTTTTAGCGTTCAGGCATCTTTAGATATTGTCCTGTATACACAATGCACTCATAGCTTACACCCTAGAGACGCAAAACTACTCTCCAAGCAGATGTTTAGGCATCGGCTTATTTTAGGCGACATGTACATGTTTTAGGAGTTTTATCGGGCTTTCTTTTGTGCACTACTAAATGTTTTTATCATCCTCTGGAGATAGAGAGAGGACGGTATAGAAGGCTGCCTGTATGTGAAAGAATTTGTAAATATTGTAACGCAAAGGTTGTGGAAGACGAAATACACTTTATCTCAAATTGTTCGTTTTATAACAACGCTCGAAATGAGCTGACTATCCAAACTTCTACAATTTATCCCAATTTCTCTAAACTTACTGACAAAGAAAAAACTATTCTTCTGTTAACTTCCCAAAACCCACAAATTTTAGAAAAGGTGGGACATTACGTCTCCCACGGTTTACAAAAGAGAAGTCAAACCCTTCAGACATAGGTTTAGACATAATTATTGTTTTATTCAACTATTTTTCATTATGTAAATATTAGTTGTTATATAATCTGTTTCAATATTGTTGTATGCTTATGAGTTGCAATTAGCCTCCGGGCACGAATTTGCAATAAACTTCTTAATGTTAATGTTTTTATTGCGCCAGTCCGACATCCGGGTGGTGTATGCCTTGCCAATTTGATATTGTCTTGCCGCCACCAAAGGATCTGCTTGGGGACTAGCGCAAAACAACAATGAAGGAAACGGTGTAGAGCCATTACGTACCCAATAGTCTAGTCTGATGCTTGGAACAGCCGGATCTTCGAACAGCACCAGAGACAGCAGGGCGCCGACAGCCATGTGGGACGTCCAGAAGAACGCGGGCTCGTTATACAGGTTGTACAGTCTAAATGCAAAAAAAAAAAAAACAACAACAACAACAACAATCGCTTTCTATACTAGGTCAAAGGTATCTGGTAGACAATGTCGGCCCCCGTCGCGGTTAAGTGAAGGCTGATATGCCCTGATGTATCGTCTACCAGATACCTTTGACCCAGTGACAAGCTTAAGCCTCACTGGGTAAGCTCACTGGGTAGGGTCAGTCTACTGAGGAAGACCAGAGTGACTGGTCGAAAGCTCTAGGTGAGAGAACTTTTTGTGTTGGATCTAAAGTTTTAACTCTAAACATGTAACTACCAACACAGATGAACTTTCATGATAATCGCTTTCTATGATACACAAGAAAACAGTTACTCAGTTACACCTAGCTTCATTGGAATCCACACCTAGCTTCAGTGCACTGTAAAACAGTCATGAATGTCCTGATGAAGATGACAGACGGTCATCGAAACGTCGGCATCGAAACTTTGCTATTTAATCATCCACCAACCTGATTAAATTATTGACGGAAGTAGTTACGCAAGCAACTGGACAGATTTTCAAAATCTTAACATGATAGTAACATTATAGTAAGTGTATCTATAGTATCATTGTAATGTATAGATTCCTAGCACTTTGCATTAGAATATAGCATACCAGTATGAAATACTCATGTTTTACATACTGGATATCCTCTTGTGCATTTAGCCCATCTGGGCAAGAACATGCAATAAAGATTCATATCATATCATATATCATATTATTTCATTACATTTTTTACCTGGATGCCTAACCTTCATTGACGCCTACACGTGATAGTTAACGATTAACAAAAGGCCGTATCTACGTTTCTCAATGAAGTAGCAAACGTTATAGGGAGAAGTCAATACACAAAATGCCCAAAATTTCTCTCCCTACTCACCTGACAGACTTGGGGTCGGTCTTGAAGTTACCCCGGTTTCCGTTCCGAGCGTCGTTCACGTATGTGGCTGCGAGACGCACGTCCTGTAAAAAAACATGGCATGTCTCCTTTAATAGACTACACGTTACTCGGTACTCCAACTTTACCGGCCCCGCATTGTGGTCTTTCTTCTGAGGCTCATTTTCAGAACCTGACACTGCTGACTGTGTTGTTGTTCTTGATTCCATCAAATATTAACTTTCATATAACTAATATTTCTTGTGTTGACAAACCGAAACGTTGGTGTGTCGCAACACATATAGGGAAGACTCACCGTATAGAATTGATAAACATTCAGCACTTTACAATAAATTAAATTACAGTACATATACGTTAATCTTGTCTATCCACATATCGGCTAGGTCTATCTCGTCGCATTGGCAATGGAATATCTGCAACCTGATACAGATCGTGGCTCTTCGGCCCCCTAGGTTTTTATTTATTCCAACATATAATCACCAGACGTGGTGACGACACACTCAAGTTTCTTCAACTTATATTAATGCCGCCACCAACACAGGGGACAAATACATTACAGGACAATACTCATTTACACCTGAGCTAAGTGAGGAAAGCCGTGTAAAGTGCCTTTCCCAAGGGCACAAGATCGGTGGCATGTCAGGACTCGAACCCGGGACACTTAGTTCCGAGTCGCGCACTCTGCCGCTACGCCACACGACCCCCTAGGTCTTCAGCTAGATGTTTTGTCCCAGTCACTACCGACATAGGTAACGTTACAACACAATGAATGTTCGCCCCTCAGTTAAAGCTTACCTCATCTGACAATGGTGGTGCATCTTCCGTATCGCTGTCTGCGTTTCGAGGTTCGCCCAGTGAACCCCCCTCCGTCTCCTCAACATTGTAAGACATGTTACTCCGCACAGTAGCGAAAACACTTCGGGTGGCGACTGCTGTACGTACGCCCGAACTCTCTAGAACACCGTGGACTTACGTGAACCCGGAAATTTATTGCAGAATAAAGGTGTGAGGGGGTGTCAACAGGCCACTCCTAGATGAGGTGTATAGTAGTAACTGTTTGAGTAAGGTGTAGGTGTAGTCTTACGTAAGCGTAGTTAACGTCGAAAAATAGCCTCCGTAGCAGGCTTATAGAACTGGGGGTTTGGTGGTCTTCGGCTGTTTTCTGATTAGCCCAGTTAAAAAAACGGGGGTAATTTAACCAGGCCGGCTATGTTGTCTATATGCAATAAGAAAATAGCGCATATTAAAAAGCAAAAGACCCTGGAGACCCCCAAACCCCCAGTTTTTGGCATGCTGTGGAGGCTAGTCGAAAACATGCTTTCTTATCCGTAAATGCCGCTACTTGGTCTAGATTTATGAGGACTTTTATTGACGCCAACTGACGGACAACTACAATGCCGTGACACTTCACGGGAGGTTTACAACACGTCGGGCCGAAGTTCAACTCATTCAAGGCTGTGTGCATAACACGGGTTGCTATGGACGACTAGGCACGGCTGAGGTCAACAAACATTACGTAAGCAGGCACAACGATAACGTCAGGTGAAAAAAAAACTTGGCACTGATCGTAAAAGGAGGGCGCGTACGCAATTTATGACCCATAATCTAGTTTATTTTGATAATAGTTGGTCTGAGAATGGAAATAAATGGCCAAGTTCACGTACAAGACGCACGATAGGGACCGTTTCGGCGATACCTGTAGTGCATGTTTCGGCGATACCAGCTTAACACCAGTGAATGTTGTGTAGTATACATTAACACTTAACCATTTATAGCTGTTCTTGTTTCAGAATACAGTGCAACAAAAGTTAACTTCTGATCTAATAGTTAATGTCTAACGCCTAGTTTAATGAATGAATGAAGACCTTTATTGTACACACCCACTGGGTCCTATCCGAGGGACGTCCCTAACCGAAGCTAGGTACTCATTTTTAGCATGTAACCCTATATCAGGTCGAGGTAAACAGCTTGATTTTTTAACGATAAACAGACTAATTTCAAGCACGTACGTGAAAACATCGTACCCACCCACACTGCATATTCAATTTGCAATAAGCCACGAAAGCTTGTTCGTAGTTATTTGAATACAGTAGTCAACGAAATGATGGCCAAATGGTGCAACCGAAGAGTGACAGATATAAATCATCGAGAAATAATCATAGTATCATAGGAAGCAGCTAGGGGACCCATGATTAAACTTGTCCTTTCTTGGACATCACTAAGACCATGGACCAAGAATCCCGAAAGACTCACAGATAGTTCAAGGATCCAGTTGGAACGTACCGGGAAGAGTCGTAATGAAGGTTGGCAGCTGCCTATTTACCCCTACACCGCAAGGGGGCGGGGGAGGCCACGAGATTTGCAAGTCTCTCATATTGGGAATTTGAATATGTAGTGTGGGTGGGTACATATTTTTCACGTGCTTGAAATTAGTCTGTTTATTGTTAAAAAAATCAAGCTGTTTACCTCGACCTGATATAGGGTTACATGCTCATGAGTAATACATGAGTAAGTAGAAGTAATGAATAATACAGTGTGCAATTTGCAGCATGTTGTACCAGTCGAGGCTGGACACTTCAGGTGTCAACATGGGGATAAACTAACTTAAAGGTATGTCGTGTAGCTTTTACACTCTACAGACGTCTTAAGACGCCAGCTTCGCAGGCATGCGCGCGCGCACACACACACACACACACACACACACACACACACCGCGTGTTGAACACTATCCATGACGTTCGTTTCCGACATACTGCATAGCCGGTCTTAAGACGCCAGCTTCGCAGGCATGCGGCGCGGGGGCAGTTGGTTTTATTGGACCGAACCGTCGGAACTGTCACACCTATTGTCTACACATCTAACAGCAATCGACAACATACTGCGCGCGCGCGCACGCATGCACACACACACACATGCTCACGCACGCACGCACGCACGCACGCACGCGCGCACGCACGCACACACACACACACACACACACACACACAAATACGACTTTCATGACGCGCACAATTTCAGCTTCACACACTAAAGGAAAGTACATAAAAAAAATCCATGTAAATCTTACTTAATTTGTTTCATTTATGGAGAGCAATTTGTTTACCAACATCGAATCACGTTTTGTTTTTGCGTTTGTTTGATTTTTCAGCATCAGGTTAACACTGTACATGTACTATACCGTTGTTTCGGGTGCTTTCACGACTACATTTTTAGACAGGAATTTCGTCGTAGTAAGGACAACGAAATGTGTAGATTCCTACCCTGTACTAAAGAAATAAGCATAATACGACTACACAGGATTAATTCATACCATTATGATCTCAGGGTGAGCTCATTTTACATATGCAACGATTTGAAATTAGTCTGGCAAGGTGTTGTTTATCGCGATATTTGAAATCTCTACGTGAGGCCACAGCAAGTAAATTTTATGGATGACATCCTCCGCAGACTCCAAATCTAATGCGAGCGGGCGAAAAAAAACAAGGCGGGTAGAAAAAAACAAGGTTCCTACATTCTAAAATTTTGACTCAATCATCGTACAAATGGTTTTCATTCAGTGGGAACATCACATATACACAGCCAGCATCACATATCACTGCATCAAAGTAAGAAACAAAACATTAAGTCAGAGCCTTGTCTTGTCTTCCCTCTGCCATCCACCTTCCGGCATGGCAACAAACATCTTTGCTTTTTTTCGGCATGTTGACCACTGTCAGAAGGCAACAAAATTTCTTGTTTTATTTTTCCGAAATTAGGCGAAAATCAATGAGCGCGCTGATGTCATCCATAAAAATTACTTGCTGTGGCCTAAGTATACCACACCAAAATAGGAGGAATATCATATTCACACCAGACTTTGGTCATTGGAGTACAGGTTTGACCCACTGTGAATATAAAATGATTCACATTGGCAAAAATAACAACAATTTTATTGAATAGCAAAGTTTTTTCTACCACAACCATTTATTTTTCACTAGCCAACGTTTCGATGACCTTCATCTGTCATCTTCATCAGGGCAATTCTGACTGGTTTACTGTGCACTGACACTAGATGTGTCTAGTAAACCAGTCAGACTTGCCCTGATGAAGATGACAGAAGGTCATCGAAACGTTGGCTTGAAAAATAAATGGTTGTGATGGAAAGAACTTTGCTATTCAGTCGTTTACTAACCTGATGGAATTATTTACGGAACAATTTTATTGGCTTCTGCCAACAAGAAGCTATATAGAAAAATGCCGCTAAAAGATTCCAAGATTGTCCAGACCCTTTTTTACCGTATCAAAATATAACAAGAACAAATTGTGATGGTGCACCCTACCATACACAATCTGTCATACTAAAAACACTGTAGTTAGTAAATTGGATCATGAAAATTAAACGTTTGAGAATATGATTTTTTTTATAGGAGCAAAATGATTGTAATATTTTGGCGACGCTTCAGGGCAAGCCTATTTATGTGCCCCCGTACAGCTTCAAACATCATCAATAGATACACAACACTAGAAAGGTAACATTTGCAAAGCCAATGCATAATGTTTACCTTCGCATATGGACTGCTCTGTTAATTCTTACTCAAATACATTCATATATATGGACAGAAAGGAGTATAAATCCCTCCTACTATAAAATTACAACGTTATGTAACCCGACACCAGTTACCATGATGAGAGACGTCAACAAATCAGGTCATTGGCCAGATCAGAGGCCAGTGTTTGGAACGGAAGAAGAAGAGGAAACGTAGCAAAAACAAAATGTTTTCCTTCGGTAAACAACATTATAGAGATTAAACTGGAAACCACAGCCATGGCAATAATTCAGATTTCCAGCCTTGTTTTTCAAATGTGTAAGAATCAGTAAGTATTTGTTCATAACAGATAGAAATGGCGTCAAACAACTCCGAGCGGTCGTCAACAGGCGAAAACCAACACGAAGACCGTACGAGTCGTATTTACAAGTATACGGATTTAGAGTATGGCCGTGGAAACGCCATTTACAGAGCTGACCTAAAGCAAGAGGAGGCTAATCAGAAGTATGGAGACGTGGATCTAGAGTATGCCGGTGTAAACGATACACGATATGCCGACTGTCAACAATATACACCTCCTGGGCTCCCTTCTGCTTATTCTACCCTAGACGAGAAGCAGAAGGAACGAGAAGGCAACAAGAAAGAAGGAGGCCACACGTACGTAGACGAGGATCTGTATGGCATCGGAAATTTCATTCAGGGTTCCGGCTTAAAACGTGATGCACCTTCTGACCTCCCTCCTGGTCACCCCACGCAAGGAGAAGAAGAAAAGAAACAATCAGAAGGAAAGCAGGGAGTGGATCTAGAATATGGCGTCGGAAATGTCATTCAGGGTTCTGGCTTTCAACGTGATACACATCCTGAGGTCCCTCCTGGTCACCCCGCGCAAGGGGGAAAAGAAGAGAAGCAAGCAGGCAGAAAGAAAAAGGAAGAAGGTCACAAGAACAAAGACAAGGCGGAAGAAGAGCACACACAAGACGTGGATGTGGAGCATGCCAGTGGGCAGGGTTCCGGCGCTGCGGCTGCTGACACCCCGACTGTCAATCTTGACATGGGAGACACACACGTGTATGTGAGGCCGGAGCAGAACGAAGGTTCCGAGCAGCAGAACAAACCTGAGGAAACTACCGGGGATGAGGAGGAAGATGGGCGCAGCTTTGCTGCCAAAGCTAGAGGTACGTTCAGATTCAATGAGTGATCATGGTATTAATGAATGAATGAATGAAGACCTTTATTGTACATTTGTGTTCTACAGAACTAAGAACAGGTCGCATGGGTACAGAAAATGAACATAAACATATATACATTACATACATATGAACATATAGGAGTGTAAATAAATGTCTAATTTCTATTCTTTTCGGCTTCATCTCTCTTAGTAGTGATTGTATGGATATATGCGGCTG